AAAAGGAGGGGACCCCATAACATAGCACCCTGAATGGTGGGATCTTCATGCTAGGGACCCCAAAACAAGGTACCCCCCCCCCCCCCCCCCCGCGCTCCCAAATTTTCGGAAATTCCCCTGTAAGGGCAAAGGAGAGACAACTTCAGGCAAGTTCAGGCTTTAGAGATGAGATGGTAGTTTCCGAAACTTAGGCGTGCCTTAGTCTGGGGTCCTTTTTATAAGGATCCTGCTATTTAGGGTACTCTATTAGGATACCCTATTTTCGGAAGCTCCCAGATGCAAGCCTTCCTCCTAACAGAAAGGTTCCCCCTCAACTTGGGTCCTCAAACAAGGTCCCAGAACCACGGCAAGCACGGAGATCTTGCCATAGATCGGTTTCGTGGGCCCCAAACACCCTCCCAACCCCTTCTTGCATGAAACCCCGAAAAGCATTAAAAAGCTGAGCAAGAAGACCTTCGCGACTCTGGTGCGCTGCATGAGATATAGGTGTCGGAATAATTACCGACAGTATTTCTTAAGAGGTAATAATTCTGGTATAATACACTCAAACACCCTATTCCAACGATTGAGGCCCCGCTGTTGCATCCGTCCCGCTATTGCATCCGAGCTAATGCAAGCGTCCTTGTCGCCACGGTGCTTCGAGAGCATCAGTAAGCCACAGTACACTCAGACGCATCTCTGCTTGCCCGGACGAACAGGCCTTGGCAAAGCCAAGCCACATTTTAAGCCTCATTGCCCCCTGAGGTCCAACAACCTAGATAGTGTAAAGTCGCCATGCACCCTAAATCTCAGACGCCCGAACACCTAGGACGCTAAGGACCCTAAGGGCATCTTACGAACAAAACCCAGAAGCCAGCTGCCGCAATCGCGAGCGCGGCTTGGAGCAGTCTCGTGTTCTTTTTATCTCGTCTGGCGTTCTGTTTGGGTCTGAGAACTACTCAGTGCACACCCTTATCGCCGCTAATATTCCAAAATACATGTCACGGCGTCCCCGAATGTAGGAACCTGATTAAGAAAGCCTTGGCCTAGAACCCCAGAATAGCAGGACTCACATAAGGAACTCCAATAAAGGCCCAAGGTTTCTTTATCAGGTTCCTACATCAATTTGGAAGATAGGCCTCGACATCCCAAAGCCTAAACCTCACCTCACTTTTTCGGGTCTGAGTGCCCAAAAACCCGAAATCCTGAAACCTCGAACTCTTCTTGGCTTAGGCTGAGCTAGGTATCGATTCGTTTTTGTTTGATTGCCCGTACTGTTTAATACAGACCCTTGCTCATAGATAATTTCTGCGACTTTTAGAAATCGCCGCCTACGGTTGATGATACAAATCCTGCATTACCTGAATGACCTTAGACTCGGAATTATGGTATATTGGTTACTATTATGGGTAAACCAGGATTTGCAACATCAACCGTAGCGAGGTTAAGGAGCCTCGACAGCCCGCATACAGCTCTCATGTGTTACTTGGAGGTTCATGGGTAGTTATAGGTGGGGCTATAAGTCCCCTAATATGGGCTACAAGGAGAGTTACCCTACTTAAAACCCTACTTATAACTACCCATGGACCTCCAAGTATTGTATAATCATTCAAGGACCCACAGTTCGCTTGACTGGCAAAGCCATTTCTCGGTTGGAGCTTGTTCCTAGACTCTACTCCCGACCGCTTCGCGAAAGGTACAAGCTACAAGCTGGAGCATGGATCAGTATCATCATCTTGCTTTAAGAGCAACCGCAAGGGAATCCTAGCACCAGTTATCCTGCATAATCCAGGTTCCATTTTTTAGCATTTGCTGTAAGACATAGGTAGTAGGGCCGGCCAGGCATAATCAAGGGATCCATTCTTAGGATCATGTAAGGGACTTGGTTTACGGATTTGCTATTGGTTTTATACTCCTGGAACAACGCCAGTATTTGTTTTAGGGAACAGTCCTGAATCTTGGCATCAACGGTTAACTAATTTTGCGTTATTGCTGCAGTTGTTTATTTAGTGTAAACTCCTAGTGTATAGGCGCGATGGTTAGGTCCTGATGACCACCTTTCTTCCTGTGGAGTAGAAGATCTTCAAGCTCCCCTTGTTCTGGGAGTTTCCGAAAATAGGGGAAGCTAATATAGTATCCGAAATAGTAGGATCCGTATTATAAGCACCCCAAATAAGGTACCCCTAATTTTCGGAAACTCCCTTCTTGTGAGGGATGTTGAAGCTCTTGTCGTCCCAGAGGGTACGGCGGAGGAAGAGCCGGTGTCTCCCTCATGCCCATACTTACCTTTGGTTAGTAGGGAATGGAAGGGGCCTTTTAAAGGGGTCTATAATAGGGGTTACTACAAGGGATCTATAAGGGTACTATAATATAGGGGTCTTAGTCATCCTATACGTTACTTTTAGTGAGTAGGGAATGGAAGAATGGTAGTAATAGTAGTTAAGACTGTACCCATTCCTCCATTCCCTACTAACCAAAGGTAAGCATAGCATAAGAGGCCTGACTAAGTACCAATACTATAGAAGGGGCCCCCACCCTGTAATAGTGACTAAAAGGATTATATCTTAGGGCCCTATTATTTTCCTATCATACCGTACCACTATTACAGGGTACGGGCCCCTTCTAACCAATACTCTTCCTTACGGGCTTCTCAACGCTAGACCCTGTAACTCTTGAACGCCAAACCAGATAACCCCTGAACCCTAAACCGAGTGTGCGAGTCGAAACCGGTTTTATGGACGTAAAAAGGAGCTCATTAATAAAAACACGCTAAAACCTGATAAAACCCTAAAAGCTGGGGGCCAAGGGAGTGTCGCTGCGTTTTAAGCAGCCGCCATCGCGTTGCAACCTTGGAGGCCCCAGTCTGCAGCTTCGGCTACGCTTAGGGGTACTTAGAGAAAATTTTTAAATTTTTGGTTATCATAATCCCTAAGAAACAGCTAAAATTATAATTTTTGCTAGGGTTCTAAGTTCAGTTTAGTACGAACCAAGCTATCCAAGGCATGGGATTTAGGAGGTTAGGGGGATTCGGGGTCGGGGTTTCCTGTGTCCTACAGCCGGGCTTGACGTTTCGAATGCCGAGAGAGAGAGAGAGAGAGAGAGAGAGAGAGAGAGACAGAGAGAGAGAGAGAGAGCGAGGGAGAGACAGAGAGACAGAGAGAGAGAGAGAGAGAGAGAGAGAGAGCGAGGGAGGGAGGGAGGGAGGGAGGGGGGTCGGGGTTTCACAGCTAACATACAAACAGAAGGGGTTTCTGGGGTTATTTCGACGTGTAAAGTGTGGTGGCAGTGCTACGTGGAGGTGGCTGTAGTTGCTGCTGCTGCAGATGCACGGGCGAAGAGCCTTCAGCAGCACGGAATAACGAGTACAGTCGTGTGCAATGAGAGATCCAGAGTGAGAGAGAGAGAGAGAGAGATTAGGAGGTTTATTCTTAGGATTCAGCTATGGCTTCAGAGCACGGAGCTAACATGACAGTGAAGTGCAACGGGCTTCCGTTAGACTTTCTGCCGAATGTCGGGGTGACTAAGCTTCCCTGGCATGACGGCCAGTTAAGGGGCGCTCTGACACTGCATGGCTTGTAGCCTGCAGTGAGACACAGACAACCCTGGGCTGTGGTTCAGCTGTGGAATGTAATCATACACTTTGTTTTCCGGCCCCATGCGAGGCACATGTCAGGAAGGAGCATTTACAGCAGATCCCAGCTTTGATATTCTCGCGTGCTCGGCTCGCATCAAGAATCTGCCTTGCAGCCTGCACCCTCAGAAAGAAATCGCAGCTTATCCCGCAAAGCCGTGGTTGAAGAGACTACTACTATAGGGGCCTCATAAAAGCCTATACGATTTTGGGCGTTCGTTATTATCGTTATTGTATAATGGGCATTTACGGGACCCAAACCCCTATTCTAATGATTAAGGCCACTTTATTAGGGTTTAGGGTTAGGGGTACGTCCACCATGAACCTTGAGGCCGGGTTCTGTTCAATAACATTGTCTATGACATGTTCATTGCAGTGGAAGATGGTTTGGCTTGGGCCGCATGATTGGAGAGAGGCAGCAAGGACATCCAGAAGTCAGAAGTTTCATATTCACCTATGCTGTCGCTGATGTTGCTTCACTACACCCTAAATCCTGAACCTTGCACCCTCCGAGATGGTATTGCCAAAACCTGCACCCTTAAAACGTAGATCCCGGGAAGGCAGCACCATTGTTTGGATGACCTATTTCTGTTAAGCTTTCTAGAATGAGAAACTAAGGTCACCAAAAGAAGGCGCTACATTTTCGGGTCCAGGTATTGGAGGCCTCACAAGGTGGGATGAAGGTAGGTGGGATTAAGGATTCCTTATATAAGGACTCTTATTTGGGAACATCCCACCTACCTTCATCCTACCTTTTGAGGCCCCCAAAGGTAGGCCTCAAGCTCAGTCTCGAAGGTTTCGCAGAGCTCAGGAAGATGATTTACACGAAGGTTTTCTACAGAACCTCCCTGTCAGCCTAGAACCCTAAATCCTAAACCCTAAACTCTAAACCCCAAGCTCTAAACCCCAACCCCTAGACTCTCAGATGGTCAGCCCTAAACCCTGAACTCAAAAAACCACCATTATGGCCCTGAATAGTGGGTGTTTGGGGTATGGCGGTATAGCAGTAATTACTATTAAACCATGGGCTGATGCTTTAGGGGTTTAGGGTTTGGGGGTTTATTTAGGGTATTTAGGGTATAAGTATTCAATTAATTATGTGAATAACATGTACTTATACCAGAACCCCCAAGGGCCCTTTAATGAGTCCTTGCGGCCCGTAATAGTGGGTGTTTGCGTTTATTAGAGGGTAGTTGGGGGGTCTAGGTACAGTACTGCGAAACGATGGGTTTAGGAGTTTAGGGTAAAGGGTACAAATATTTCAGGCATGTACTGCATAATATAATACTGAACAGGCTTTGTACACGTGCTGATTGCCTCAAGTCTGCTTCGTTTGGGTTCAATGCTCCGTTGCGCCAACAGCTGGGTCGTTGAGATGCGTTTTCCTGCCATGGGCGCTGGAACCAGCTGCAAATGCGATGGAACGACGGAGACCCCCAAAACTTCAGTGGAGGTGGTCACGATCAAGACTGAAGAGAAGAACACAGAGAACGAACGCTCAAGCCCCAGAGAGGAGGTCCCGTCGCCCGATTCAAGAAGGACTTCTCACCGAAACCGGAACCCCATAACTCTAAGCCTTTATAAGACTCATAAACCGCCAATGTTTTGGGCTTGGGACCCTAAAGGGAACCACCCGACGCCCTATAACCCGAAAGAAGGACTTCCGTGTCGTCAGCATCGACCACCTCACGCCCCGGCATCGACAAAATCCTCAGCCTGAGAAGCGCCGAGTTGATGCGAGGCATCCAGGTTTCGTTTAAAGGGGTCTATATGGGCTACTATAAGGGAGACCATAAGGGTGCTATGCTACCGGGGCCTTAATAATTTTCTTCAGTATTTTGGGGGCTCCGTATTATAGTATACTGGGCCCCCAAAACCTCATTTTAATTATGAAGGCCCCTATATTACCCCAAAAAAGCCGGCCAGGAGCTCCACTTAGGACTTAAAGTAGGTGCCTGAATGATGAGAATGATTGATTAACATGGGTTTTCACGGGAGGGCACATGATACTGTATACAAATACACATAGTATACACATACAGTACACAAAAACACGTATACAAGGAATGTTAGGAAATCCTAAGTAGGCTTTAACATCCAGCTTTGAGGATCGTCTTGCAGAGCCGGTAACTTGATTGAGGCTTTCTAGGACTTGGTGGTTCGGCTTCCTGGTTGAGGGCTTTGAGAAACTTGTACTTGGAGGTTCATGGGTAGTTATAAGTGGGGTTTTTAGGGGTTCCTTTAAGGGTCCCTTTAAAGAGTCCTATGGGGATTTAGGATTTAAGGATTAGGGTTTAGGGTAGTTATAAGTGGGGTTATACGTCCCCTAATATGGGTTATAAGCATAGTTGCCTTACTTAGAATCCTACTTATAAGTACCCATGAACCTCCAAGTGGGGTTTGTAGATGCCGGGGTAGGATCTGGGTAATGGATCGTCAGGACCGTCAGGAATGTTTAGGATGCGAGCTCTTCAGGCTAGATGATGAAACTATAGCCGCATGTGATTCATGCCCGTGGTGGCTTGATAGAAACGGCATCCTAGACCTCCTGCTGCTTCGGCGGTGCGGCTGCACCAAGACATCAAAGCTCACGCTGGTAATGTGAGGTCTTGAATATGTAGATAATGCTATGTTGAATCCGGCTTAGGGTTTAGGGTTTAGGGCACAGTCGGCGCCTCGGTTCCTGGCATATGCATAGTCCAGGTGTAGAAGGGCTTGGGTACAATTATGCGTTTCCCGACCCCCACTCTGGTCCAAATCGGTACGGCCTGTAGGTTACTGTCCGTTGTATCCCACTTGTTCCTGCCTCCTTAGAAGCCTGAGTATTTTGTTGATACTGAAGACATGGCAGTGCCGTATCGCGCATTAACGCCTGAAGCCAGTACAACACCGACAAAACTTGTTGAGGATGTAGAAGCCTGAGTAGTAGGGTTCCTTCCTTGTTATGAGTAATTTCGAGAACCTCGAAGGGCTCGTTCTATATAGACATGAAAGGAGGGATATTACCGTGGTCAGGGGGGCAAGCGCCTGTCCGGTGATCTTCGTAGTTTAGAGCTGACAGAAAGACTTGCCCGTCTTTGGATTCTGGGGATGCATCTAATGCGAGCTAACTGTATTATGATGGCTTATTGGCTTGAGGCAGGCCATAATATTTGTTGTTATTGTTTTGTTGCTGGAGGTTGGCGCCTAGAGCTGGGGCATGTTCATTCATTCTCTAGATTCGTCCCTGCAGTCCTGTGCGAAGCGGGAGGACAGCTTTTTTCGGCTCAACCTTTCCTAGACGACGTCGGTCGCTCGGGCGCAATCTTCTTCACACCTTATGTACTGATGGGTGCAAGTCACATGCCTGAATGTCATGTTGTTCCGGAGGCATCTCCATAAAGGAATCTCTGCGTCGCGGAGGGCGACTGTGGCGAAAATCCCCCATCGACTTACCGGAGAAGGACTTGGGCTCCAGGGTTTACTTGAAGGTTCATGGGTAGTGATAAGTAGGGTTGTATCTAGGGTAACTACACGTATAAACCACATTACGGGACTTATAACCACACTTGTATCTAGCCATGAACCTCCAAGTAGGGTTGAGGGATCGGATCTGCCGGCTTTCAGGGTGCGGCATCTCAGAGTATGTGGAAGTACAGGCCCTTGCAAGGCCACTGGGAAGGGGCGGAGTCATGACTTATAGTTGCCCGGGGTGTGTACTACACAATAGTGCCCGAAGCGCACACCGTGAGGGTTGAGCAAGCTCTAAGCATCTCTTGTGTCAATGCCTGTTGAGGGAAAATGCCTGTTGAGCATTGCTTCAGTAGCCTAAACCCTGCTAAACCCCAAACCCTAAATCCTAAAACTAAAACCTAAACCTAAACCCTATACCTCAACCTTAAAACCTTAAACCAAAACCCTAGACCCTAAGGGCCTAGAGCTGACGACAATACTTCTTTGTATCGCCTGCAGGGCGACTCCCGGGTCTCGCATTTTGAGCCGCGATCTCCTATGCACTCATACCGCTACGATGATAGAAATCCTGCATTACCTTAAGGACCCTAAACTATGGGAATTATGGCATATTCCTTATTATGGGTAATGCGGGAATATATATTATCAACCGTAGTACTGTACTACGTCGTTCTTCTAACTCCTAGTTCTACTGGTTCTAGTAGTCGTCGTCGCAGTCGTAGTCTTGGTTGTTGTCGTAGTCGCAGCAGGAGTATCATGAGTATCGCAGTGGCAGCGGAGTGGCAGTAGCAGTGGCAGCAGTAGGTCAGATGTAGGTGCCGAAGAAGTGTTCTGGCAGACCGTTTCACTTCTGCAAGCCACCGTCTTCTTGCCATCCCCTTCTCCAAGCTCTAGACTCTAGACTCATTGGCTGAAACCCTGCAGTGCAATACGTGAATCCCGGAACCCTAAACCCTGAACTCGAAATCCGCTATGCAGGGGACAAAAACATCAAATCCTTTTGAATCGGAGCCCTTGAAGCCTTGAGGCTTTGATTCCGGAAGTTCTAAACAGGAGAAAGCTGGACTTTGGTCACGTTCGCGACAGGTCTTGGGGACGGGGGGGGGCTGTGCAAGGGGTATTCAGGACTTTGCGGGCCACCGGGGTTAGGGTCAAGGGTTAACCATGTTGAGTTTTCGGGTTTGTTAAGGCTGGCTTGCTTGTTCAGGATTTTGGCATAACCGGCAAAGGAGTTTACCGTTGCATTCAGTTTAGCCAATGACTGGTTCTTTCGGGTCGTTGTAAAGCTAAGCAAGCCAAAATCATGTTAGGGGAAGGCGAATGCCCGAGGCGAGATTGTAGTGCTATGCAATTCTCTGGGATGTGCCTTAGGCCCTGCCTAGTGACTAGTTCAGCAATGCTGGGGGCAAAACACCATTCACAATGTACCAGAGCATTCCCTAATATCTAACAGTACTCTGCAGTATGTTCAACCACAGCATCATGTACCACAGCAGGTGTGAACCTCCAGTGCCCCTTGGAATCTGGATAGGCCGGTATTTAACGTGCATGTAGTCACCAAGCTGGATGTCTTTCGGCACCATCGGCTGCAAAGCTGAGCTGGAGCGGGCGGTCTAAGACCATCCTAGCAAGAAAATAGATGCACACTTCACTGGCCCTTCACAATATCCCTTCACTTAGGTTTGGGTGTGGAGCTGCCCCGAGGTCTCAAGCCTTAAGTTAAGACCTAGGCCGCAACCACATCGGCTATTCTTGCCGTTTCTGCGAGGTCTCACTGTAGTTTAGTTTACTGTAAAGCAAATGCCCTCAATCGTGATGTTTGCTGCTTGTAGTTCGTTCTGCGAAATTATGATCATGAGTTCGCTTTCGTTGTGTCTTCTTGGTCCCTTGAAAGTGTCGGCAAAACACCTCTCATACACGGCCTTGTCCAGGTCGACTACTTCGACATTTTCCTGTCGCACACGTGGGCTACCAGAGGATGTTGGAAGTCCACTATCCGGAATATTTTTGACTGTCTGATAATTACCTAATGCCCAAGCCCGAAATATCCCATCGGCAAACCACTCTCCCTGCTTGCGGAGGGTGCCCCACTGTCTGTGGCTTAGCACTGGCTTCTACACGTTTAAGGTTTCAAAAAGGGGTTTAGGGTTTATAGGGTTTAGGATGTATTTTTGTTGGGTTGGGAGGATGTATACTTGGCTTGTCGGCAGAGCGTCGCAAAGGCGTGTTCTGCAGGGTTTCGGAGTTGTTGAATGCCTGAAGAAGCCCCGTGACGAAGAGAGGAGCCTCCTCATAATGATATTACTAATAATACTGAGAATACGAATAGTACCAATATTAACAATACTAATAATATTTGGGAATAATAGCATTAACGATTTTCTCAACAATCTACTGTTAATGAAAAACTATGAAAAGTAGCAATGATCACAACCATAAAACAGTACTCGTAGAAATATACGACATACTACTAGCAATAGAGCGAGAAGTATACTATTATAAGGACTTCCGTCGAGGTACCTCTCCCTGTCCTTTCAGCAGGGCTGGAGCTATGCTCTACTATCATGGCTTTTTCTCCTCGTGGTTTTGGAGCTCCTATGCTGTTTACGCCTTGCGCCGGTGCTGGGCACTGTCAGCTTCGAAGTACAAGGTTTCGATGCGAAGTGCCCCTTCAGTGGCCTTGGGATGCTTGTGGCCATGCCGGTGTCGGTCCTCACTTTCTTCCTGGTTCCTTACATTCCCGACATGGGCATGGGCCGCAAGAAGCAATCCTGTTTCCTCGATGTGGTCAGCATCCACCAATGCAATGCCAAGATCATGCAGCAAGGAATCTATGGCCTCCAGGCTCTGGAAATCAACTTGTTTTAGTTTGCTGCTGTTGGACTGCATGTATGGTTTAGAGAAAAGGGATGTGGGAGCACAGTCATGGGTACCACACGCGGAGGTATGTGCAATCCGTCTGAAGGCAAAACCCCCCTGCAGCAAAGCTAATATGAAATCTCACCCAAACCCAGCAGTAAAAGCCAAGCTCAAAACAACAGACACAAGCCCTAGACCCATAAAAAATAGACGAGCAAAAATAGTATATACCAATAGTAAGAGCCGCAAAAATGAGGAATAGTAGTACCCTACACCCCAAAAGCACGATAGAGCTCAGGGCTTGGCGGCTTCCTGAGTGCTTCCAAAGAGACGCGGGGGCATTGGCACAGTTGTTCCTGTCGTTCTGGATCTGTAGTATAGGGGCCAAAATAAGCACCCTATACCATTTAAGGGGTTCCTTATTAAAAGTATAGCATAATTAAACTACCCCAGTGCTCCCTTCTAAGTGTTCAGGCCCCTATATTACCCTGCTCTTGGCTCAGAGTCTTCAGGGTATAGGGGCTAGGGCAAGGGCTCAGGGTTCAAGAGCTCAAGCAAAGTTGCCAAGAATAACCTTCGATAGGTCTTTGGAATGGGGAAGCGACTGCCTTTTTTTTGGCTCTGCCGGTCCAAGGAAATGAGAATCCTTTATTCCGGACCTTATCTCTCCAGGCAGCGGGTCTTAAAACCATTCTCTCTCTCGCACGGGATCCGAAATACTTGCAGGAACACGCGGGCTACGAGTTGGGGTTTAAGCTAGCTAGCGTTTCCGGATGAGGAGCTATGTTGGCGGCTTGTATTATTATCTCTCTGTTCAAGGACTTTTGACGCTTTGGGTCTGCTTAGCCTTGAAGTGAACCCTCAGCCGTCGGGTTTTTGCACCGGCAGCAGCAACAGAGTAGAAGCAGCATGATCGCCCGTGAATGTCTACAGTCTACAGTTAAGTACTAGCAAAAATGCCAGCTACGAGTTGCGAGCTCAGAATCTCATACATCAAATACTCACCAGCCTCAACCCGCAAACTTTCAGCCAACCACGCAGAGGTTATGGTGCGTTTTTGAACTAGCTGCCTTCCGCACGGCCAACCCGACCGGCAGGACTGTTCCGACTGTTTCTCTCAAGGTTCGATCGCTTCAAGGGTATGTAGGGTTGTTGTAGGGCCTATGGCGCAGCCTGTGATGTATTTCAGCCTGAATGCACGCATCCATCCCGAATGTTCTGCTATGTCCTATGACTGGCTGAGCTATGCTATGCCATCTATACGCTACGATGCAGCGCTATAGATACTATACTGCAATACTGTACTATACCATGCCTCAGACCCTATTCTATTTACTGTGGCCCCGTATCATAGAACCCTTACGTAACTTGATGCTCCTGGGTCGCATACAGTTGCTGCCCTGGATATCTTCGGGGCATGAACTCGGGTATGCGACATTCGGGTTAAAGGGCTTGGCTGCTAAGTACAATATCTTAACAGGTGCTACGGTCTATGATGTGCTAGAGGCAGCACTTGGCATTCCGGGGAACGGCCCCTTGATTCCAGAAGCGTCGCGGCACGAATTCAACATGTTTCCGGGGGCTTAGTCTGCCAATCTATCCAACCCACCCAGCCCCAAGACAAGCACATGCACGCACACCGACCCACATGCCGACAACAAAGCAGAGGAAAAGTTCCCGCATTTGTACATGTACGAGTTGCAGAGTCAAAGCAGCAATGCAGGGTTGGGCATTCCATAAACCCTAAACCCTAAACCCTTAAACCCTAAACCCTTAAACCCTACACCCCTAAACCCTAAAACCCTAAAACCCTTGGAAATCATGCTTCCGCACACAGATCGCACTGCCTGAGTCCACCCGGCTCATTCGAGCTCGTTATCTACACTGTAGGGCTTCATTCTCCCTATACCCGCCCCAAGCGATCTGCCTCGTCTCTTCACCTCGGAATCTCAAGTTGTCCACTGCTTATGGCCAGGGGATTCCGGGGAGAGGTTGCGTCGACAGGCATAGTCACTTTATGTGTTGAAATAACTTGTTGCTGAAAGCGTCGTGACGAAGCCTCTTAGTATCGTCTCACTTTGCAGACTCCGACTCATTGACTCATATGCCTCGCCTGGATTGTCCGAGTGTGAGCGCCGAAACCCTTAACCCATAAACCCTAAACCCTAAACCCTTAAACCCTTAACCCTTAAACCCTGAGCCCGGCTGTGGTAGCGCCAGTCTGCAGGATCCGTTTCGCTCCGTTGCTCCTCCGACGGCACCAGTTGAAACATGGGAGTTTCCGAAAATTTGGGGGGTACCTTATTCTGGGGTCCTTATAATAAGGATCCTACTATTTAGGGTACTATACCCTAAGGCCCCAAAGTAGTTTATTTTCTGGGGTTCGTATTTAGAATCCTATTTGGTAATCCCAAAAAGGAGCTACTTTGGGGCCTATGGGTATCGATCAGTCTCTATGTCTCTCTATGTCTCTCCGTCCATCCGTAAGTCTAGCTATCTATTTGGCTATTTCCACATAGAAGATTTTGTCATTTACAAGTGAGAGAGAGAGAGAGAGAGAGAGAGAGAGAGAGAGAGAGAGAGAGAGAGAGAGAGAGACAGAGAGAGCGATAGAGCGTTCAGGGTTTGGGTACTGTATACACATGCATAGTCACATCGCATAAGCCAGAATGATGCTGCGCTTTACATTGGAGTTCCAAGCTTGTGTGGCGCCAGTCAGTTTATATCTGCGCATGAGCCATCACGCACACATTTTGACCATGGTAGCTGCAAGCATGTCTCCATCATGCATAGTAAGACTACAGCATGAGCATAGAGGAAGATGTTCATAGATCCTAATCTAACCCTTGATCCCAAATCTTGCCACCAGGTTGCTTGCTGGTTTGCTTTCGCCCTATGTTGTTGGGTTAGTGGCTGACTGCGATAGGCAGCTGCCGGGTTAAAAGACTTGATGAAGCCTGACCCAAGTTGACGCTTTTTGTGCCTGGGGTTTAGGGTTTCAGGAAAAATCTAGATCAGCAGCAAAGCTTGGCAACTCCACCAAGTGACAGGTATGTGCTGCTTAGCCGTGTTGCTAAGCAACCCGCGATCCTCCAACCATGGACCATTGTGCTATATGGGAGTTTCCGAAAATTAGGGTACCTTATTCTGGGGTCCTTATAATAATAAGGATCCTACTACTTAGGGTACTATATTAGGGCCCCCTATTTCCGGAAACTCCCATATCCCCTGACATGGCTGTACCAGAGCCCGGTCTAAGCCTTCAACCATCAAGAACTGAAATCGCGTCATCGGCTGGCATCCCGGATGTGAGTTGTGCGCCAGGCAGTTAGATATGGGAGATTCCGAATATAGGGGACCCTAATATAGTACCCTAAATAGTAGGATCCTTATTATAAGGACCCCAAATAAGGTACCCCAAATTTTCGGAAACTCCCATATTTCTCTAAACCAGGGTTCCTTTTCGAGTTCCCGAAATCTATGTCACTCGTGCAGCAGGGGTCCATGAAACTCAATCTGGGCTCAAAAGACAAGATTTGGGTACTGCCCCCTCTCAGTAACAGTTGTTAATATTCATAATATAGTACATAGATATATTAGGCCCTTAATTGTAGCCTTAGTATATGTAACAGTCTACCCAAGACAAGATATGTAGACAAGAGTAGAGGACCTTCGTAGTATCACCAGCCCCTTGTCCAGTAGAATCCTACACTAAATGGCCGTTATGGCAGCCCTTCGTGTCACCTTCAGCGATTCTTTGAGCAACCCTACTAAACCCCATAAGCCTAACGAGCCGAAAGGTTTGTGGAGCTCGGTGTGGCCGTCCTCTGGCTCGGAGGCACATTGGCCATTATCCTCTACATTGCGGGCTTCCTCACGGACTTTCGCAACTCGAAGCCAGATTTAGTCGGCTTTAAGAGAGAGACTCTTCGGCTTTAGCAGTGGGTTTATTACATTATCAAACAACAATTAGGGATTTCGCTCCAGCTTCTGCAATTCTGCAGGACTTGGAGGCTGAAGGTATCAGGGGTGAGGGTTTAGTTTAGGATTTAGGGTCCGCGGCTTCGGGATTTAGGGGCTTGTCGGTTTAGGGTGTTGGAGAGGGTGTTTTGAGAAAGGTGGTGGGTGGCTTTCCGGCTTCACCAGCTGAGGGTCGTAAGGACATTCGCAATGGGGGTGTGAAGTTTGTGACGTTTTAGGGTGCAGGGTTCCTAAACCGTAAACTGCCGTTGTACGCCAGGGCCCCACGGGCTCGGAGTTCAATCATCGTCACCGTAGAGCACACATCGACAAGGGATGCAACAAAGCCCTGAACATCCCTAAACCCCTATCTCGATTCCATCTGGCCGGATCATGCGGCTTTTGTGGTCACAGCTCTGTTGTGATGGGGACGGGTTGATGCAGCACCTAGTATCTCCTGACCTGGCAGAGACAGAGCCCACTTCTGCTTAAGACCTGAACTCGTTTAAGTCCTGAACCCTATAGACTCAAGACACATGGCAAGTCGAAAGGTGCAAGCATACGAATCCGGTGGCCGCTCTTCTCTAGCTAGCTGTAGTCTCCATTGTATATAGTTCCTTTCTTGGTCAACCAGTTTTATAAAGTTAGGACCCCATAGTATAAAATGGGTTCACTATACTAAAAGGAACTGCCATGGAGAGTATAGGCACTTGCACTTTCCAGTTGAGGACATGACTTGTCTTTCAGCTTACTTGTCCGTAAAGTGTTTGTTGGGTTGAGGGGAAGGCGCATGCCTGCGCATCCACGGATCCGCCAGTTTGTGCGGGCTTCGTTGGACATCCACCGAACAAGTTCAGCCTCGCAAGCCCCCAGTGAATGCAACTCTCCTTTCGTTTCTAGGCACCTGGCAAACACAGTCCGACATGCCGGGTTTCAAGACCTTCCCTCTCAGAAGTGTCCATCTAAATCCGGCACCCTGAACCCTGCCCTATATAAACCCTAAACTGAACCCTGAACACCGGATCCTAAATGAGGCGGCACAGCTCTTCTTGTCGTTGCACTGCTCCCACTTCTCGCAGTCTTCCACCTCCTGCGGCAGAACTTGGCCCGGAAGCGGCAGGTGCGTCATGAAACCGTGGAATATGGTGTCTTTATTCTTGGTAGCTTAAAATCAAGTCCTTAACAGAATTCAGTGTAGTGGCAAGGGGAATGTTCCTGGGTTTCTTGGCGAGTCCAAAACCCTTGGGTTTTCTTTTCCAGATCGAACCGGTAACCGTTGGAGGTAGGGTTCAGGGGGTACGATAGAAGCTCGGGTCATTAGCAAAACTCTTCCTGACGTTTCCCTATTGTGAATACAGTAGGATATGCTTAAACAAACACATTCTAATCATCAAGGCCTCTGCGATGCAGAACCCTTATGGTAACACATTGAGGAAGCCTTATATACAGGGACCCTGTTTCAACAATTAGGACCAATATGGAATCCCATTTTAGTTTTGACTGAACAAGCCGAGAGCAGTCCCCATGTGAAGAGCTTCGCAATTCCAATCTGAAGGGTTTCGGGTGAATAAGGGGTTAGGGTTTTCGACTTAAGCGTATCTACTGGGATTAGGGTTTTGAAGTCGTACCTGATGAATGGCAGTGAAGCTTTGCTCTTCACCTGGTTCACAGCATTGGCAGTTGCAGGCTGGATGCCAAACAAAATGGTTTACGGCTTGTTACAGCCCAATCTTAAGGGAGCGATGCATAAGCACCTGCAAGGAGTGACCGTTCGTTGCAGGGGGCATGTATTCAACTTGATTCCGAGGTATCGGAATTCCAATGTGGGAGTTCAAAAATAGGAAAGTCTACTACGCCCCCAAACACACCCCCACCTTTCCCCAACCCTGAACCCCTCAATCCCTGAACCCTAATCGAACACAGAGCCACCAAACTGCGTTTGAAATTTCCCGGAACATAAGACGCAAGCCTGAACTGTTTGCCCATACTAGTCCCTACGGTTGCCGTATTGTCATTTACTTACCCTAGGACCCCATTTTGAATGAATGAGCCGCCCCGGAACCCTATTTCACGTGTCTAAGGCCCCCCAGAATCCCTTTCTAAGTATTTCTGGCCCCGTATTAATCAGGTCTTCTTGGCCTTGGCGAGCTTCGAACTGTCGGATGCGAGTTGCAGATTGGCCTCCGATCCTCACGTTTAAGCTTTAGGATTCGTGTGAGATGTGTATATACATATGTGTATATGCACTTTATTTTTTACATGCATTATGTATATGTATATGTATATGTATATGTATATGTATATATATATATATATATATATATATATATACTTATACTTATGTATACATGTATACACCCGCACACACCGTACGCAGAGTCCAGCTTTGGTTAGAAAAGGTTTAGGGTTGGAATTTGTATGTTCGTACTTTCCTAGCATAGTTGCGAATGTTGATTTTTTTGGTCCAGGGAACTCACCAGCGAAGGACAAGGAGTTCATCTACAACGCCATCCGGAAGTGGTACGGTAGCTAAGCTACGGTTCAGTCGAGTCCAGCTCTCTTTTGTTTAAGGGCGCGTGTGGCCATTTTTTCCGTATTGTTGGGTTCAGGATATGTGGTTGGCGTTTTTGGTGTGCGTCGCATTTTGGGCAATTTCAGTGGTTTTCCCTAGGGCTCCAGTTTCCAAATAGTAGTTTATTGGGGTACATCATATGTGGTTTGTAACCTGCTGTTTAGGTGACTGCAGCTTTACTTGGAGGTTCATCGGTAGTTATAAGTGGGGTTATAGGTCCTCTGATATGGGTCATAAATATAGTTACCCGAGTTGTAACCCTACTTATGGCTAGCCATGACCCTCCAAGTAGGGTTTGGTGTGTTAAAGTTTCGGCAAGGCTTTCTACACCGGCTTCCTAGGAAGGAACGGGCTCCTTCACGCCTAGGGTCCCCGTTCGGGCCCTGCTCCTCCCTTAATACACCGGCTGATACTGTGTGGCGATATACAAAACTGCAATATGACGTGACGGACTACAACATGCTATACTTTGCTGCACTATACCTGCCTCTTTCAATTTCAGGCAGTCTAGACGCCTTCACCGCCCATGTTCGCGGCCCACTTCGTGACGAGCTGCTAAAAGACCATGTGGGCACAAGCCTGCCATGGTACTACGGCGTGCTGATTTCGACCCCGTGGATTAGCCTAGGCCAGCTGTCGTGATGCAGATGTTGGATTTTGGGCTTGTAGGCCTTGCGTAGAACCGAACAGCCCTACACCCTGCCCGAAACATTAACTCTACAGTTCTGAGAAGGAGCCATCGGTAGGCTCTAGACTTACTGGGTCTTCTGACCCGCGAAGCCTGAAAGTTCTAGCCAAAACCTCAGATTTTGTTTTATCTGTCTGGGATCAGTTTGTAGATTAGGATCCCCTATTCGGAAACTCCCATGTAAGCCGAATGCAGGAACGGATGCGCTGGCCGCCTTGGTGAGAGGGGACGCCCCCCTCTACGCCATCTTGGCGTATGGCTTTGCCATGACGCTGGGCCTCTTCACCTTTTGGTGGCTCTTTACCATGCAGTGCCTCCGCTGTATTACGTTGTACATGTGTATATGAACTTGTATAAAAGTATACGTTATGTATATGTATATGTGTATGTGTATGCATATATATATATATATACATATGTATATATAAACATAACTGTATACATTTTCATATACACATACATAGAAATATATCTTTAAATATGTATAATTATATATACATGTATATACATGTACACACTTGAATGACTCATATCTATCTATATATATATACACATATACATACATGTATATGTATACGTATATAGATGTGTGTGTGTGCTTATTTGCCATGCCATAGGTATATTCATATGTATGTTTCTATGCATCATAGTCGGGATGAGAGCATATGCTAGGCACTTGAAACCTTAACGCACAAGTCCGTAGGATCATGTTGAAGCCATGGAGTAGAAGATTCATGCAACTGACGATCGATCAACTGCAGCCTTCAGGATGTAGACATTCTGCCTTGTCCTCTGGCGTCGCTTCTGTTGGCCATACTCTTAGTCGGTTTAATGTAGGGGCCGTTTCTAATTGGACGGGTTTTGGGGTACATTATGCTGTAACCATGTTAAGGAACCCCCGCAATAGCATTGGCAATTAAGTAGGCCCCTATATTACTTAGATTGTACACCCTGAACCCAAAACCGAGTCTGCAAGCGAAGTAGAGTAGAGTAGTTGAGTTAGCTGTGCACCCGAACACAGAGACCTCGTCTGGCGAGTTCGAGTTGCGAGAGTGTAAACCGAGTCTGTTTACACAGATTGATTAGGTATCGATTGGGCCACAACACGCACGGAACGTTTCAGTTCGGCCGGCCCGAAGAAAATGGCCCTCAGTGTACTATAGGGGCCGAAATGATTACCAATACTAGTTTGGGGGGTTGCTGTCAGGGGTCTATAGGGGATCTATAGTAGATAATGAGAAGAGAGTTTTGGATTTTGTCGGGTTCCTTATTATACTTGGAGTATAATGGGTCCCAAAACCCTATTCTAATTATGAAGGCCCAAATTATTTTACCCGCCCTGCGACCAAGGTTCTTGCTGCTCCTTTGCCACCGGTGCCCATCGGCAGAAAGAAGCTTCTGCTCGATGGCACAGTCTCTGGTTTTGTTCCTTCTATACCTCTTGGTGACATTGTCTGGTGTCTATGCAGCACGGTGGGCATCCAATCACAGTGTCGGGGCATCGTTGATATGGTGTGGTGCAGCTCGCCTGCTTGTTTGGCTATCTGGCGGCGGACTTCAGAGTTTTCAATCACTTTTCAACGCGAAGGGTGTCATAAGATCGCCAGAAGCCCCCAATGCAGCATGAACTACGTTGTTGCATGTGTCGGTGTCTCGATGTAAAACTTGCGATCAAAAGATTCCTGTCTGAAGGCTAGATGAAAGCGCGCTAACACAAACACTTCGTAACGTGAGCAGGTCTCCACGACAATCGCTTCGTTTTACGTAGTTGTAGCAGGATGACCTACATGACTATATGCCATGCTGTAGATTGCTGTATTGCAGAAGGAAAAGCATATGCACTGGTAGGAAGGAGAAGTTGCAAGATGAGCAAACATCGAGATGCTTTGGGTCGGGAGATGGTCGGTCACAGGGACCCATAGGCCTTAGGGGGGGAGGGGGCAAGGGACTGTATTTTGCTTAAATGGGTCTTATTAGGTCCTTCTGATGGGCATTAAGGGCCCCTACCTTAAAAGGGTCCCTATAATGAGTCAAGTTTTTTGCACTACAATATCCATACCTGCCCTGGGACTCCTACCAGCTCGACTTCTCAAGGACAACCACTTGAAATCATGCTGAGAACCCCTCTATAGTGTAACCCTAAGGGTCCATGTGCTCATATAGGAGTATATATATATATATATATATATATTTTTTTTTGAGGTTAAGGTATGGACCATTTGGGCATCCGGCCCCTGAGGGCAAGTCATACGGTTGATGATGTAAATCCTGCATTGCCTCAAGGATCCTAAGCTATGGGAATTATGGTATACTCCTTATTATGGGTAGTGCAGGATTTGCATCATCAACCGGTTGATGACATAAATCCTGCATTACCCATAATAAGGAATAGACCATAATTCCCACAGCTAAGGGTCCCTAAGGTAATGCAGGATTTATACTATCATCAACCCTAAACCCTAAAACCCTATAGATCCCTTAAAGGAAGCCCTTAAAGGTACCCCTATAGATCCCTTAAAGGAGCCCCGTAAAGGTAGCCTTATATCATCAGCCGGAGGGCTGAGTTCAGAGGTCTTGGAGTCCCGGGTGTGAAGTCATGGTGCCAGAGCTCCAGCAGTAGGTGGGTACTTTGGAGGTTCATGGGTAGTTATAAGAGTTCCTTTAAGGGTCCCTTTAAAGGGATCTATAGGGATTCTATAGGCTCCATAGTATTTTGGGGGGTTTCCGAAAATGGGGGAGCCTAATATAGCACCCTATTTAATAGGATCCTTATTATAAGAGCCCCAAATAAGGTGCCCCTAATTTTCGGAAACTCCCATGTTGGGGTACTCTACTTGGAGGTTCATGGGTAGTTATAAGGGTTCCTTTAAGGGTCCCTTTAAAGGGATCTCTAGGGGTTCTATAGGGGTATAGGGTTTAGGGCCTACTCGGAGGTTCATGGGTAGTTATAAGTGGGGTTATAAGTCCCCTAATATGGGTTATAAGCATAGTTACCCTACTTATAACCCTACTTATAACTACCCGTGAACCTCGAAGTGGGGGCCCCAATAGTTAGAACAGGGCTGTGAGGCCCGTGATATTATACTTATAGCGGGCTTCCGAAAGCATTTTCCCACTGTGGCTGCGCCACAGTACTGTCAGTACTGTTGCCATCCCAGTGAGCAGGCAAAAACACTCTTCACTCATAACTTACAGCTCGCGGCCGCAATGTAGGGCAGATGTGCCCGTGCATACCTTTAGCCGCGCATCCAAAGCCCCTCAAATTGCAGGGGTATGCCAGTATACCAGGTATATCCCTCAAGTGTAGTAGAAATCCTTAACCATGGCCCCGCGCAAGTGGGGGATGTTTGGAGCATCCGGTATTCAGAAACTGCCAAGAGCAGTGGGATCCGAATGGACATGTTGCTCTACGCTGAGGGCCACCATGTCCCTCGAATCATAGGATGCCAAAAGGGGTCCAGCTTATGGGCTTTAGCGGCTTTAGATAGGACACTGTCCCCACCCTGTAGCAGTTCGATAGTATTTATAATGTATGTAGTTCTATATAGCCCATCATATGTCGCTGAATATGGACTGTTACAGTGTCGGGGCAGCACACAAGCTTTAGAAGGGAATAGGGTCTCCAGATCTTTGGGGATCAGATCTCTGAATGCTAAACTTCAAAACAGCCTACAATGACGATCTACAGTCTTACCAGACCCATTTGGCTTCCAGCCAACAGATTGCAGGGAGCTGCATGTCTAGACGAGGAAATCACTGTTTAGATGTCTGTGTATGTAAATACCTATGTAGATAGATTTCTAAAGATAGGTAGATAGGTCGATAGCACATGATTTGTTTTGACTGTGTGTAATCGGGCCCTGCAATTTCTCATCCTTTCCTTGGGAGTTTCAGAACAAGGGACCCTCGTACAGAACGTTAAACCGTAGGATCTTGTGCCATTGATGAAGCCTGAATAACATTGAAAATTATGAATATTCAATCTGAGGGTTCCTTATTAAAGATGCACCAAAATGTACATGGGCCGACACCTCTCATCGCCTCTATATAGACACTCCTGAACCCGTGCCGAAAATAACCTTCGAGACGCGCCGTTAGATAAAGGACGCACCCGAACTTTAAACAACTGTAAGAACCCCACTTACGCTGTACACCCTACACAACTCTGTATATCCTACATTCTCAAGTTTAAGAGAAACTCCCTTTCCAGTCGCCCGTCTCTGTTTATCAATCTCCTCTGAGCCAAGCTCAAACAGGATGCCCCGGCCTCGTTGGAGCCCTCTGTTCAAGGAAAAGGGACCTCTACGTCGACAGTTTAGGTTTTAGGGGACAGGGTTTCGGGGTTTAGGATTTAGGTTTTAGTGTTTAAGGGTATAGGTACTGTGTAAGAGAGGCCGCAAGACTTTGCCAATACTCTTCCCTGGGACTTCTCGCTATCAACGTCCTCCTTTTGCGGTGCTGCGGGTGCAGTCTTGGCTCGCTTCCCCTCTGCCGAACATGGTCACAAGGGCTGGGTGCCTCAGCTTCCACTCAGGCTTCAGAATTTGCCACCCATCCCTGCGATGCCGCGATTCGAGGCTCTAGGCTGCTAGGCTTGTGATTAAGGCTTGCGGTAGGGTGGCGGGCAGTGGCATGAATGCTTGGAATCTGGGGAGAAGGGAGACACCAAACGCATAGCATAGCAAACACCCCTTCATGCGCTCAGTGGTTCAGGGTTTGACGTTTCTGGCTGTCCCGCGTTCCCGCAACCTTTTTTGTTCATTGGATTGTGCGCAGGGTGTTACAGCATGGTAGATTTTCAGCCATGGGCAAACCCCGAGGCTTTGGGCTTTGGCTGTAGGTGTGCCGTATGGCTTTGGAAAGAATGGGATGTGTTGCATTGTCAGCATTTAACATGACCGACATGGCATGGCCCCAATAAGCAATAGGATACTAAGGACCCCTTCAAAGTCTATTCCTGTTCTTTAAGAACACCCCGCCTCAAAAAGCTAACAAGGCTTAGTCTCGAGGTTGAGGGATTTGCAGCAAAAGTTCCCGCAGTGGGCCGGGGTCTTAGCTTGGCCCCCCAGGTTTAAGCATAATTCGGGACTTCAGGTGTCAAGGTTTTTTAGGGAGTATCAACCGGTATCCCTATGCAGCAGGGACGACGACGGCCAAAGCAAGGGAGCGTCGATGGTGGGAAGCACGAGTGAGTGCAGGTGGTGTCGCTACTCTATTATCGAGCGGACAAGCCTCAATTATGCATGTCTGACCGGGCCGGTATTAAGCAATCAAGCCGCGGGTGACTTTGGTGGCTAACCTTAACCTGAGTATGAGTTAACAGCACATCTTGTTGCGGAAGCCTGAGTAATCACTAATTTGACTCCTTATGGTGCGTTCTTAATTTAAACACATGGAAGGACTAATTGTATCAAAATCTGGTTCCAACGATGAAGGCCCCTATAGTATCCCAATACCGTGAAACCGCTGAAAGTTAAAGCACCTTCCAATTAACGCCCTGAAACCCTTCCAGCTCCTGGCCCCCCCACAGGCCCCAGATCCCTGAAGCCCTAAAACCCGAAATCCTAAACCCCCTTCTTTATTGCAACCCATCCGAAATGGCGTCTCATGGCCCTCGCATCGCAAGAGCCAGAGCCCTGGTGTCCAGATCGCACTCGACGAACACTAAGAAACAGCCTGGGTTTGGGATAAACAAAACTTGTGGGGAGTTAGGTGTTCGCCTTCGGGCTTCCGGGTTTGCTTCCGAGGTTTCCTGGAGATCTTTGTGTGGTTGCCTGGTATATTGTATTGATATCAGTTTATCGTACAAATACATCAAGTAGTGCGAGTACCGTAAGACCCCAAAGCCCAATACCATCCAATATCTCGATATCCCAACACCTAGCCCAGTACAGAAGGCTGAAAAACTACTTTTGCACAATGCAAAGTCAATCTGCCCCTGATCCTACGTAGTTGTTCGGCGCCGATATCAAGTCCTGACACCCTACTTAGTAGTAGAGTAGGTAACCTCTGAGTTTTTTGTACTGTAGTCCTTATGTAGTACTACACCCAGGCCTGTAACCCCCAAATAGTAGGCTTCATATAAGGAACCCCAACAAAGGCCCAAGGTTTCTTAATCAGGTTCCTACATTAGACCAAATATCTTCAGAGTACCAGTCTTCGGTGTTGTGCTCGGAACAGCCCTGTGCAAAACAATCGCCGGTAGGAATCTAAGGCTGGACAACGAGGATCCTTCTGTTTGGGTTGATCCAAGGGACCCTGGCTTGTCTGAAACCCTCCTGACCTGCGCGTTCATGCTGTGTGTTTTACTGGCTCCCTTTATTTATTGGGTTTGTTTGTAAAATGTGCATGTCTTTGCGTGTTTCATTGCATCGAAGGGTGTCCACTGTCCGCCGAAGCAAGTAATCTCATTGAATCAAGCTTGCTGTGTGTTGGCTTCAAGTGTGTGTCATCTACTGTTTTCAAGACCTTCATTGATAAACTAAACCCTGAGTCTACTGACTCTTGTTAAACCACTGTCAGGATCGCTTACGCACGTGTGATTCACCTCTAGATCCCTGATTGGTTCAATCCATTAACGAACCCTTTTGGAGTTTCTTTGAGGTGGCTCAGGGCACTCGAAAATCTTCGGCAACGCTTCGACCAAGTCTCTGCCAATGCTAGGGCCTTGGGTTTGGTGTTTCGGGTCTTTTGCTTCTGTGCTGTTAGGTTTCTGGATTGAGGGGCGCTTGTTAAGCTTCAGGACGTGCGTCGTGCTAGGATCCTGGAGTGCACTGTGGTGGGTCATGGAGTGAGGTATCGTACTTTCGATTGCCAAAGTCGTAGCCGCTTGATGTTGATCCCGACAGTATATGGGAGTTTCCGAAAAATAGGGGTACCTTATTTGGGGTCCTTATAATAAGGATCCTACTATTTAGGGTACCATATTAGGGTCCCCTATTTTCGGAGACTCCCATATTGGGGGAAGCTTCCGGGAGAGTCATCTCAACTGGCATTTACGTGCAGTTTGGAGGCTCGGAACGGCGTGTTGGATTGTAGTCGAGTCAAGTGACGAACCAAACGAATTAGGTGTGGTTTCAGGTCTCTTTCAGCTGCTTCTAGCCGCGAAGATATCTGCTATTATGTTCCCTCCGCGGCTTTTGGGTCGCAAGTCCTGTTACCCAAATTCCAGAACCTCTCCCATACTCCTATAAGACCCTCAACAACCCTATAAGCCTCCCCAATCATGATTATGACCTCAACCCTAAACGCCCAGCACCCTGGACCCATAAAGCATCCATCATACCCGGAGGCTCCAATATCCCTTACAATTAAGGAATACACTTAAAATATTAGGGACCCTACTATAATCTAAGAGATAATCTTCAAACTAAGGGACATCCCTTAAATCAGGAATACACTTAAATTAAGATTAGGGATCCTACTATAATCTAAGAGATAAGCTTCAAACTAAGGGACATTGGAGTCTCTGGGTAACCCGCCAGAGCTCCGGAAGTTGCACAGGTCGCCATCGCAGCGTGCAGTCGGGCTGGCAAGTGGCCGTGGTCGCTGGCCATCTACCAGGACTTGTTCGTTTAGGGTTTTTTTTGGGCGCTCTCTTTCGGATTCCCTTCTTTCAGCTTCCTTCAGCCTTCTTCAACATGATTTAGGGCTTTTTTTTGCGCACTCTCTTTCGGATTCCCTTCTTTCAGCTTCCTTCAGCCTCCTGCGTCAACGTCATGCTTCTTCAGACGTCCGGCCCCAGCTCGTGGCTCAAAAACGGGTTTCGGGTCGGTCTTATCTCTCGTTCCCTGTAGGCTCCGTTGTAGTTCCTTTTTGGGGTTGGTGTTGGAACCCTGTAAGGCAATCCCAAAAAGCAACTACCATGCAGCCTGTGGGTATGGGCTCAAAGGTTCGACATGGCCGAGGCAGTGTTTGTGTAGCGACACGAGACCCGCTGTGGAGTGTGGACCACCTCTACGTTCAGGGATGTGTGCTGGGTTTAGCGGCAATTATGCAATTAGGTTTGGATGTGGCAGTGGCCATATGTCCTAAACCCTAAACCCCAAGCATTTGGAAAGCCGAAACCCTGAGCCTCGTGTCTCTGTAATTAAGCATCGGCATGGGAGCTCGCAGATGAACTACTTTTATCATTTGCTGTTTTGCATTTTTGATCGAATTAGCGGCAGTTGTTATTTCCCAGTCGTGTTCTGGTGCCCGTGATGTTTTTTGCTGATTGTGATGTTGGTGCTTCTGCGTTTGCAGTTGTGGCTACTATATTCAGCGACGGATGATAATACTGCGGATCAGCAAACAACAGTCACCATGCCATACGCACCCGCATGAACATCAGCATCATCACCGCCACCGCCATCAAAAGGAGCACCACAATCACTCTTCTCAGCCTGATTCCCTGTATTCCTTTGACAAAAAGTCTCGCTTGTCGCCAGCATTACTTTGCCGTGGCTCCCTCATCACCATTTAGTTTGAAAAATTACATGTTAATCAGGCTCGTGGTGTTATACAGTATGAGCGAGTCTCACTGTTCTGTCTGCTATCAGCTGCCATCACTCATTTTCCTCTGGCGCCTAATAAAGGGGCCCCAGTAACTATGTACCTATACTATTTGGGTGGTTCCTTATTTTATACATATAGTATATTGGGTCCAAAGCCCTCTTCTACTTCAGACCTGCATTGAGTGTGCCTGCTTGTTGTGACTGGAGTTCTGCTCGCTTTCGTGACATGCAAGCCCTGCTCTGCAATATAGTGTGTCGATGCTCTGATATCCTGTTTTGCAGGCCCCCTGAACCTCAAAATTCCGGAAACCCTGAGCTTTAGCCCTACTTATCTCATGCCCGCCATATGAAACCTGTTCATTCACCTGCTCAACTGCCGAATGCTTCCATTCACATTGCAGGCGCCGCAGTCGGGCGCCCGAAACGCCCTCATTCGCAACATTCACTTCTGTCGCCAACTTCCTAAAACCATCGAACCTGGCCCTGTCTTGGGCACGTCATCTTCTTGTTTTTCCCCTTACCGTCAAAGCAAACTACCCTTCAAAATGTGCCTGAGTTCAGGGTGTACTATAAGCCTGATTAACTACCAATCATTCCTTAGGGTTCCTTGGTCGACTTATACCATCATATGTTGCACAATCCTATTCTAGATTCTGGTTGTTGAGGCCCCTACTTGGAGGTTCATGGGCAGTTATAAGTGGGGTTATAAGTCCCCCAATATGGGTTACAAGTATAGTTGCCTACTTATATCCCTACTTATAACTACCCATGAACCTCCAAGGAGGCCCCAGACCCTACACCCTTACATGGAGTCCTTATAGATCCCTTTAAAGGGATCCTTAAAGGAACCCTTGTAACTACCCATGAACCTCCAACGACAGTAGATAGACCCCACACAAGAAGGAGATCTACGCCCGTCGCCTAGCAGATGTTGTTACCTTCAATGCAGCTTGAGCCCCAGTCGGTGCTGCAGTCTGACGCTGCTTTATGCAGCAAGCAGAAGCTTCAAGAGCCCCATGATGCTTTCTAGAGTCTTGAACCCCCTGAGAACCCTAGACCCTAAGTCGTCTGGGCTAGTGAGGCTCATCTTCTACTGGTCTTGGTCCCTAGACCGTGTAAGCCCTGTAGGGTTCGGGTTTAGGATGTCGTTTGCCTCGTTAAGCCCTGCATTGCATCATCGCGTCGGGTAGTTCAGAGCCCGAAATCATCCCTGACTCCCTCGAGTTATTCTTCAACGGGCCCTTGGCAATTCGAACAAGGCTGGCCGGAAACTGCAGCCAAACTTGCAAAGCTATTCTTCAATATTCCAAGATGTATAATGGGATGGCGCTACCCATTTTTTGGAAGTTTAGCTAAAGCACCTCAGATTCGATGATTCAGGTGCTGAGCGCCTGCGACAGGGCCGGGCAATGGCACAGGCAGCAATGCAATGTTGGTTCTGTAGATTGTGAGGGCCATCTTGATACCGGCATCAGGTGCACCAGCACAATATTAGCTATTTGTAATGTGTTTGCGTGCTTGCATGTCAGCAATATGTGTACACATGCGAATGTGTATATGTAGATAAAAAGGTATGGTTGTGTGTTTACTTATGTATAGTATTGTACTGTACTGTATTGTAATCATTGTAATGTAATGTTATAAGGTAATGTATTGTATGTAACCTATGTATTGTATGTGATGTATGTAATGTATGTACTGAATGTACTGTGTGTAATGCGTATGTATGTATGTATGCATGTCTGTATGTATGTATGTATGTACGTATGTATGTATGTAGACTTGTATGTATAAGTATGTATACATGTATACGCATGTTTACCTATGTATGCGTATCTATACGCATGTGTACGTGTGTATACGTGTGTATGTATTTGTGTGTACATACATACATACATACATACATACATACATACATACATACATACATACATACATACACACACAGACAGACATACATCACGTGTTTCTATCTTGCACGACCCTAATTACATTACCTTGCCTTACCTTACCTTGCACATTGTATACACTTGTGTTGATCACTCCTTCTGCAGGGATTCATGATTGTACGTCAGCGACAGGAGGAGCCCTGAGAAGCATGAACGTGGTACTCGTGGCCTCAACTGCCCATGTCTTCTGGCCAGCCTCTCAATATGTTAATTTGGGCCGTGAGAATGTAATTGTAAGGTGCCCTTCATCCACATCCTAAACTTAGACAATAGCCTCAAGCGCCCTACAGCCCGAGTGCAAACCGAAGCCCCAAACTCCCTGTGACCTTCATCGTGGTTCAGGGTGCGAGTCCTCCGGCAGCAAATGGAGGCTGCCGGCATCCTCCCCGACCTGGTCACATACAACACGCCTCTTGGGAAGGCATCAGAAATTTTTGCTGTTTCAAGGTTTCCCGACCCCTCCAAAGTGATCTACTGCACGGTAAATGGAGCTGCGAGAGTCCAAATGGAGAATTTCCAGCGTTGAGCAACGGGTACGAAGCGCATGGTGGAGAGTTGTTTCAAGATGCCGGGTTCAGGATATGGACTTTGCAACCCTGGTTCCTGACGCTAGGAACTGAAGTCAAGGTTCCTGTACCCGGTGAACTTAAATCGTCAGGATGCCTGCGTCGAGCGAGTGTCACCCCTAAGCCCTAAACCCTAAAAGGCGAGTGCGTGTGAGTGCTGAAAAAGCGAGTGCACTCCTCGAGTGAGGCGGGCGACAGGACGTCACTGCACTAAAAAAAGAGGAGTGTGCGAGTCGAAATCATCAGGACCATCGGAAGTTGCGGCCGGACCGCCAGCTGGACGCGAGCACTGCATCTCATCACCGAAATAGGCTCCCCGGTGCTGAGAACTTGCGTTCACTGAGGCTCTAAGGTAGGGGTGCCCAAAAAGGACATAAGCATAAGCATGTTAGCTGGATATCTCTGTCTTTATGAGGACTTACATTTGCCGGCTTCAGATCAGCGACTATACCATCAAAGGTTTGCAAGTGCCTTGAGCTATGTAGTTAGGGTGCCGCAGAAAAGCGGTATCTCAGCCTGCAGCCCCACACCGGACGACCTTAAAGTCAGGTTTTTAAGTGGGGCTTCGGGCGTGAAGTTTTTGAGGGTTTAGGGTTCAGGGTTAGGGTTTAGGGTTTAGCCAACAGGAAAAAGGGTTCAGGGTTTGTGTTCTGAGAGGTTTGCTCCAGACGCAGCAGCTGAGAAAGGGGCAAGTGGCAAAGTCATGGTGTTTCAGCTTGATCCCGACAGCGCAAGTGAAGGATAGTCAGTCCCAAGACCCCTAAACCCTAAACCCTAAACCCCAAAGCTCAAAAACATGAAGCTTTTCACCCTGAACCCTGAACCCCGGGACCCAAAAGGTACTTGTAGTAATCTCTGGGACCCTACGCCCTAAGTGTAGGGATGGCGGCGTTGTAAGGTTGCGCTAGACCGCAGTGTATCGGCAGCGACATGGTCATGACAACGACAGCAGCCACCTACTGACAACCAGCTAAGGGTGAGAGTTTAGAGTGCAGGGATGACAAGGAGAGTAATTAGGAGCCGGATCAAGGAGCTCCTCGTTCGTTTGAGGCCCATCCTAACTTCAGTTGTTGCAGGCTGCACTCTTTTGGGGGCGATAGGGGCCAGGGGGTTCCGAATCAGGTCCCCCATCGAACTTGATCGCATAATCCTGCCTGGTACCCTCTGACATGACTTAAGTCAGCGTACGGAGGATCTTTCGGAATCATGGCGCCGAACCGACTTTCTCAAGCTTGTCACTACCCTAAGGCCCCAAAGTAGTTCCTTTTTGGGATTACCTTATAGGATTCTAAATATGAACCCCAAAAAGGAACTACTTTGGGGCCTTAGGGTACCAGTCGTGGAGCCGAGTGTGGGGCTTCTTGGGTTGAAGTTGTTGCGTTCTCTCGTAAACCCCGCACCGCTAAACCCGAAAGCCCAAACACCTAAATGGGAGTTTCCGAAAATAGGGGACCCTAATATAGTACCCTAAATAGTAGGATCCCTATTATAAGGACCCCCAAGTAAGGTGCCCCTATTTTCGGAAACTCCCAAATCGCTAGACCCGAAACCCCACGTCAAGGGCTGTTTGGGGACGTCCTGCATCAGCTGTCCAGGGCAGGAAGACCTTCAGCCGGACTTGATCAGCTTCAATACGAGCATCAGCGTTTGTGAGACGCTTGTCTGAAAGCGCAGAGGAGAGGCCCCAGAAGTGTCCTTTGGTCTTGCGATGGCCAGGATTATGAACGCCATGGTCCAGAAGCCCTCAACCTAAAAGCTTCCCGTTATTCACACTTGAAGAACATGTGTGATGGAATTCACAGAGTAATGGACCTATTGCCCTGCTTCGTGTACTGAGCCATGCAGGAGGCAAGAAGTGTGTCTTCTAATCAGCCCCCCTTGCGGGCATGGATCCCTAGCCATGCGAGCGGCTAAGGCTAAAACCCCTGAAGCGCCGAACTCCCCAACCTCTTTGAACTTCGTGGTCTTTCCAAGCAACGAGCCTTGAAGGTTGCAGTATGTTGCAGTTGGAACCGCGGTTTTAAAGACGTACATTCCCAAAGCAAGAAGAAGGAGTGCTTCGAAGCGTTTGTCCTGTCGCACGTTTTTATTCGACACCCACTCTTGTCCCCAACAAAGGAGCCCTTCGGGGCTCCCTGCAGAGGGTTTCAGGATGGTGTCAGGCATAGTCCCCGAAGCTTGGGACCGGCACCCATGCAGGCCTTGATCATCAGAATTGTATATCAGAGTATGATTGCCATCAGGATGCCTTAGAAACACTATTAGCTTCTTCTTCTTCAAGCTTCTACATTAAACCGTGCGGCTCCAATGGCTCGCATTTCACGGATCCCACACACAAAGGCCAGGTAGTGTAAGGTTGTTGGGTGGATTTTGAACCCCTAAACCATGCACGCAGGGTTGACTTCCCAAGCCAGGATGCTAAAGGAAGTTCGGGTTTAGGGTCCGCAAGTCCCCAAACCCTTAACCAAAAAGCCCAGACGATAAGTCCACAAACCCTACACCAAAAAGCATAGACGATGGGCAGGCATAAAGGGCAGGCATAAAAAGGAGCTCCAAAAAAAGCCCCCCAAACCCCAAGCTCATCCTTCCTTCAGTCCAGGAAAGGAGGCGATTGGCAACAGGCTCTGCAATTATTCGGCCGCCCGGCATAAGCCCAGGAAGCCTGGGCCTAGACAGTTTTAGGCTTTAGGTAGAACATAAGGGCCTTAATAATTAGAACAGGGTTTGGGGGGGGTATATTATACCATAAGTGTAATAAGGAACCCCCAAAACCTTGGGCATTTATGTCCCGAACTGCCCCCAGAGTCTTTCAATAATCCAAAAGAGGGATTAAGGCTTTGAAGGTTTCAGGGCTCAGCAAACTTGCTTCAGGCTTTGGGGTCTGTTGTTGCACCAGTTCTGGCTAGTGGTGTCTCACTTTGGTGAACCTTTGGTTGCATGAGGGATGATGCTTGGACAACATGGAAAAGCCAGAGCTGGAGGATCGTGATCTGTTACCAAGCTGGTGGTTTGGGCTAGGGATCCTCCTCCTCCGGGTTTTCGGCAGTGTTTGTTGTTGAAACACTTGCACAGAGCCTCAGTAATGAAACTCCCGGAAAGTGCCTTAGCAGCCCGGATCCCGTGTTGTGCCCAGATGACCTTGAGCATGCGAGCATTGAGCGTGAGCCTCGGCGGTTGCTTTGATAAGAACAAAGTTTCATGTGCGGGTCTTCTTGAACTCATGGAGAGGGTGCCTACAGGTTTGATATAAGGGCTACTTCAAGCAGCCCTCTTTTTCGGATCCCTGGCTGCAGGATAAAATTATAGGCTATCAAGCCATAAGCCTGGGGGGGGGGGACAAGGACAGGACATGTATGGTTCAGGATGCAAGTTGGCAGCTAGCGGTATCTTGGGGTGTGGATGTGGGAGAGTGTTACGAGCCAGTACCGTTGTCATTGGCTGCATTTGCCGCGGTGGTCATTGGTTTTCTTCGTAGTTGCTTCGAAAGTGTTCGCAAAGCACGGCTGAAGGCACTTCGTTTCCGTTACCTGCGTGACAGCCTGTCATGTCAACCGTCAAAGGGCGAGAACAACACCAAAGAACGCCGGGCCGGGAGTCAGGCTTTAGGGTTCTAAAGAATTTCTTTATCAATTCAAGGTTTGCGATACGATCTACAAGGGGATAGCGATTGCTGACATGGCCTGTGAGGATTCTAGCAAGAACACGGTTGAGGTAGTTTATAATTGGTTAGAGGGGCCAGGGTTTGCGGTGGAAGCTTTCTGTTCCGGAGTAACGGATGGTGGGATTCAGGTTCAGGGTTCACTCTAGGGGCCGAAATAATTACCAGCACTATTTTGGGAGTTCCATCTTAAAATTACAATTTATAATATGATGGGCCCCAAAACCCTATTGTAATTTTTAAAACCCCTATATCATCGTACCCTTCTAGTAGCCCTTATAGTATTCCTTATAGACCCCTTTAAAGGAACCCCTATTCTAATTATTAAGGCCCCGATGTTACCGGGCAGGATTGCCCCTGTATTCTTATGCTTAACAGGTCCCTGTTTCAGGATCGTTTCCCTTCTTCCGGCAGCCAGCCTAGTCTAAAAACTCACGCGACATGCCTGAGCTAAAGTTCTAAACACCTAACTTCACTCCTTAACCCCTACCCTAAAACCTAAACCCTAAACCTCTAAGCCCCTTTTCACACCTAAGCCTAAACCCTTAAAACCAAACCCAAACCTATGAAGCCTCCCCAAATCTTCGATCCTCAACACGGCTTTCCAGGGAGGGCCCCAAGTTGGGGCTTTAGGGTTTTTTGGAACTTGAGGGGTTTAGGGTTTGGCGTTTAGGAGTTTAGTTTTTAGGGTTTAGGAACTTTAGAGGTTTGGGGTTTAGGAGTTTAGGGTTTAGGGTTTAGGAACTTTAGGGGTTTAGGGTTTGGGGTTTAGGAGTTTAGTTTTTAGGGTTTAGGGTTTAGGAACTTTAGGTGTTTAGGGTTTGGGGTTTAGGAGTTTAGTTTTTAGGGTTTAGGGTTTAGGAACTTTAGGTGTTTAGGGTTTGGGGTTTAGGAGTTTAGGGTTTAGGGTTTAGGAACTTTAGGGGTTTAGGGTTTGGGGTTTAGGAGTTTAGGGTTTAGGAACTGTAGGGGTTTAGGGTTTAGGAACTTTAGGGGTTTGGGGTTTAGGAGTTTAGGGTTTAGGGTTTAGGAACTTTAGGGGTTTAGGATTTAGGGGTGGGGGGGCTTTAGGGTTTCAGGCTGTAGGGTTTATGCAAAGTCGGCTAAAGATTCGAGTTGAGAAGGATAAGCTTACATCACAGAAGCAAAAAACGAAAGACAGACGGCACATGCACATCCCAATGCCAGCAACGGGCCGTAAACCTCAAAAACCACAACCAAGGACGTCATCTCCTTCAACGCCACTGCTGCTGCTTGTGCCCGGGCCGCGCCGGGCGAAGTTGCAGAAGCACTACTGGGAGCGTCCCTTGGACTCCAAGGTTTGGAGCCCCGGTACTGGGAGGTTCATGGGTAGTTACAAGTAGGGTAACTATACTTATAACCCATATGAGGAGACTTAGAACCCCACTTATAACTACCCATGAACCTCCAAGTACCTACAGAGTGGGTTATTGTTCCAGACACTATGCAAACCTTCCAGGAGCTGAGAAAGCATATCGCAGCAATCTGCCCAACATAGGTGCATGAAGAGCTGACCCATGTCTTTTCTCCAGAGGGCCTCTTAACATAACTGTACCCAAAACCCTCTCCGACCTATCCTACCCTAAACCCTAAACCCTAAACCCTAAACCCTACATTGCAGAAGCAAGTGGACTCTTAGGGCTTCTGGAGCTCCCGGGTTTGGAGCTTTAACACCGAAACCCTTACTCTATATCTATACTTGGAGGCCCTTTTGACTTAGTAAGTAGGGTTAGTAAGGTGGGTTATGGGGATTATAATGGGGTTTCTAGGGGATACTAAGTAGACTTACTAAGTCAACAGGGCCTCCAAGTAGTCTCCTCGGGAACTTTCTTCATGGTTTGTTCATATAAAACCCAAGAGACGATTTAAAGGTTTTTATATATTTATGTCATGCTTCCTTGGGGCGGCCATGTATTCTTGTTGCCATATGCAGGCTGGTGTCTTATAACCTCAAGGAAACTAAAACCCTGAACTCTACATTAGCTTTTATTGCTACAACGCTAGATATTTGAAGCCCTATATAGGCACAGCCCTAGACCCTCAACCCTATCAAGAACCCCCAACTTAAGCCCAAACTCTTCTCGAATGCAATCGCCTTCGCAGGTGCTGGTCAGTAGGTTGGTGCAACCGGTGTTTCCACACCCCGGTTCCCACACGAACTGCTTTGTTTTTAAGAGTTGCCCTTGTATGTCCAATCTTGGGATCATATAGGGGCCTTAACTACTAATGAGAACTAGGGTTCTGGGGTATAATATAGCACTATAAATAGAATCAAGAGCCACCACAATAGTATAGTTCCTTATTAAGGCCCCCCGTCTTACCCGAAACCCTAAGCTCGGTTCTGCACTCCGAGGATCTTCGAACAAGGCGCGAGCTGACTGCGCAACGGCTTCTTCGACAGTGGAGCGAAGGGCTAGACGCAAGACCCCCTAAGCGCTCAACAGACCTAAACAACTGAACCCTGAGCGCAAGTATATACTGCTATATACTCCCGTACAACCTACATTTCAAACTTCGAGGTGTGGGTCCCTGCGAGCCTAAGAGCCTACGTAGTTGTGTAGGCCTTGGCGGTGCATGGTGCAGGGTTTGGGGGAATAGCATATCCACTAACATTTGTACAGATGGGGCTTCAGACACCAAAGCAGCCTCAAACCCGACACCTTGAAACGCAAAGCCGTAATCCTAACTCCAAGCCCTAAAGCCTAGGTCCTAAACTCCGCTGGAGGCAGTCGTCAGTCAGTCGTCTTGGTGCCTAACTAAAGCTTGGAGCCCCCGTGATACCTCGGGTGCCCGAAAAGTCGGCCCAAAGTACCCTGCTCAAAGGACAAGGCTTAGGTTTTGGGTTCAGGGGTTTAGGGTGTAGGGCGAGACAAAGGGTTTATGGCAGAGTAGAGATAGCAAGGTCACTTCAGTATGCAAGAAGTCGGGTGCGGGTTTAGGGCGAGGGATTAATCTCAGCACGAACTCATACATTTTCGGACCTCGCCATGTATCCTGTAGTTGCTCGGCTCCTTGTCACAAGGGTGCATTGGTACGTTCAATTGAGGCTTCTTGTGTCTTGTCATAATGCTGTCTACCAGTAGAGGTAGGGGTCCCGGCTCAGTTCCCGCGCCCCGTCGGCAGTCATGCAACCGAGCCTTGTGACCTACAACACGCTGATTACGGCTCATGACCGGAGCCATCAGTGGCAGCGCGCATCCTGTCGCTGTTCGGGTTGTCGGGCTTTGAACTCTCTGCAACAAGGTCGTAGATGTGTTTTAGGATCTATTTCCACGTGTAGGTGGAGGCTTCTTTTCCAGTCATGGAGTCTCCCGCAAGCCTTCAGTTAACTTGAGGCTTCAGGCTTTCCTGGGCTTTCCCTCAATTGCGTGCCCGGAACTGTCGAGAGTTCATGAACATTTCGCCTGTATGCCTGTCCAGGACGCCATGTTGTTTGAGTAGGTGTACATGACATCTGCATAGGTCACAGAACACTTGACCTGAACAGTACAGCGCAGGCTTTTGTGAATCGGACTGATGAGACAGCAGAGTTGATTTATACAGATCCATGTGCGTACGCTTCTGCGCATATATACGCGAGAATGTACACTTTGGATGAGGCATTGGAAGTCCTCGCCACGGCGCGTGCGGTGTCGCTTGCAGACGTTGTGCCCCGCGGCTTCACAGTGCAGGGAGGCTCCGGATCTGGACGCAAGGCATTGTGGCCTTCTCAGGGCTGAGTTATCTAGTTTCCTAGTAGAGGTCTTGAGGACTTATTGGTACGTTGAGGCTTTCAGGCTTTTGAACCCGCAGCTGGTACTTTGAAAATCTTTGAATGGAGCAAGTTCAGGTTGAAGGCACTGTTTATCTGGAGAAAAGCTTCGGACTTTTTCGCTGATCTGCATGGGCTCCGAGGTAGGGGGACCGACTTCGAGCTTACCACCCGCTTCCAAACTCAAAAATTCGACGCGAGGCCATGTTTCTGCCCCGTCCAAACACTATCTCCGGCGCGGCAGCCGGTCTGAGGAAAATCTCAAGTACTTATCGGGGCCGGAAAGAGTACCACTGCAATTCTGATACACCCCGAAACCCTTCTGTAAGTATTCAAGCTCTTCGAGCTGGAATCGGAAGACAAGTCACAAGCAGCAGTAGAGCAATAACCTACTACAACCTATTGAGGTTTGCCTGTTTGGGGTTTAATCAATAAAGGGCCTTCCGGTCTCAAGGCTTCAGGTGTTCTGACTGCTGCTCCAGACCCCCCCCCCCCCCCCACCCACCCCGAACCTGCGATCCGAAGCCATCGGCTCTAAAACGTATGCAGCTTAGTGTGTATACTTGGAGGTTCATGGGAGTAAGTAGGGTAGCTATACTTATACCCCATATCAGGGCCTTTTTCCCCCACTTAGAACCACCCCTGAATCTCCAAGTAAGGTTTAAGGGTTTGGGTGGCACACTGTATCCAGGTCCTTCAATGCCGCCATGTCTGCGTGCGATCGAGGTTCGGTGCCTCTGCCTGGTGCAGCCCGGGGGGTGAATCAAGAGAGCAACACTATATAGTGTGCCTTTAAGGGTTACTTTCAGGGTTTGGGGGTTAAGGGATCCATGGACCCTTTCGATAGTATGAGCAGAAGCTCAACAACAGAGTAAGACATCTTACAACAGATTTTATCAGATTTTCATGTTAGTTTTAGTAAAACGCCATACCTTACAAAATGGTCAGATACACTGCGATGTCATCTGGTATGGTACAATGTCACAAAGCATAGCGAAAACTAATATGACAGAACATAGCACAATACGATGTAATGCAAGCCTTAATAGAATGAAAAATGAAGTGCATTATATATTCTCACAATCGAGGGCTCAGAGTTTGTACCACTTGGATAATATTTATGATATACTTCTATGTAGCCCTTAGCGTGACCCCTACTATCGGCTGTTACAGGGTGGGGGCAGCACTCAGTAAATTGGTGCGGTTAGATGAGAAGTATGATGCTGAGCCAGGGTACTTGGAGGTTCATGGGTAGTTATAAGTACGGTTCGTAACTATACGTACAACCCTTATTAGGGGACGAATAACCCCACTTATAACTACCCATGAACCTCCAAGTAGTCTTACACAGACACTACGGGCCCCACTCTAAACAATAAATCCGCTCAAGTTTCTATGCAGGACAGGTTTCAGCAGATGTCAGCTGAAGGGCGTCGAAACCCCGTGAGCACTTTGCAGTTAAGGTTGCGGAGAGATCCTACTGTACTTGGATGAGGGTCAGTAGAGGTCCTGGGGCGTTAAAGTTGCTAACCCCTAGACTCCTAAACCCTGGACATTGTTGGAGGTGTTTCACCTCATCCGACCACGCACCACGAATCTCACCTGGCTTGTCCGAGTTTGAGCGCCGGAACCCCGAGCTAAACCTGAAAGCCCTTAAACCCCAGAAACGAAAACCCAGGCCTTATACACCCATTATAAACCAAAACCCTAATCCGTAACCCCATGTAACCCCTATATCGCCAAATCCAAAGCCCGAAGCCCTAGGTTTTCTGAATTTGGCACATCCCTTAATTAGGGAATATGCCTTAAATTATAGTGCGCACCCGAATGTGATTTAAGGGATATTCCAAAGTTGAGGGATATTAGAATCCCCTAAACCCGAAACCCTGTAGATCCCTTTAAGGGATCCCTTAAAGGAGCCCTAACTGTATATTCTCTCTGGGAAGGTGGGCAGCTCCATCATGTACTGAGCTTGATGAAAGACCTTAAGGAGGCGAGGCCTGGCTCAAGGGCTTCGGCTGTACGGCTTCTGTAGTGACCTTTAAGGGTCGTCATAACCTGTAATATATGTGTGTATATATATATATATATATCTAGCAGTCAAAAAGAAGATATATCTACATATATGTATACATGCATGTTTACGTGTTTGTATGCGTTTGTTCATTTGTGTATTGGCGTGTATACGTATTTTTTCATGTTTATGTACATGTACGCATATTTGCATATGTAGATGTATATGTATGTACACCAAAGCCCGAAACCCGACAATCCCAGTAGACACATTTCAGAGAACTGCTAATCCCTCGATCCGGCAAATCCTCATCGCTAAAGTCTAGATATAGCATTTGAACCCTGGGCCCGATGATCCGAACCTCTACTCTGTAGAGGTTAGGACCATGGGGCCCATGGTTCAAATGATATCTACTTAAAGGATCATGAGACTTAGTAACTAGGGTTATAATTAGGGTAACTATACTTATAACCACAATTAAGGTACTTATAACCTTACTTACTAAGTCCCATGATCCTCCAAGTAGACTTCGGCGCCTTAAACTCGCCAATGCTACCGTCTTAAATCCTGCGATAATCCCGACCTACCGCCTCAACTGCTCGGCCGGCAGCCAAATTTCGAGCGCATGGTCTAATGTATGTTTTAGTTGGGCCCTGGTCATTGAAGTTTGTAAAGCCCACACTGACGGAGAACAGCTTGATGTGCAAACGCCGGGACCTATGCAAACCCTGAGACCAGCACCTTTTTTTTCAAACTGTGTCGCTAGCGATCAGGGGTTACGAATATTGGCAGTTTGGGATGCCCCCCCCCCCCCCCCCCCCCTGGGTTTCAGGGTCTTCATTTAGCTCCCCACATCGGGCCATACTACCGTGGCCAGCAGCCCGCAAGCTTTGGACCCCACCGCAGTTCCTTGCGGCCTGAATTTTGAAGATCTTGCTCCTCTGGTTGCCACCGCATGATCATGAGCAGTGCTGCCACTGACTGGTATGCAAAATGATGCTTGTTCTTTTGCATCCGTTGGGTTTCTATGACGTTTGCCTTCATGGATATCCTGAACCCTGAAACCCCAAACTTAAAACCGTTTCTTTGGAAAATGCTGAGGAGCCTTCAGCTTACCATCGTCAGTTACAGTTGCGCCATCAGCGACCAGGTGGCATGAAGTCTTTACGTTTAGGAGTTTAGGGTCAGACATGGGCGAATAAGGCCTCTAGCTTAATTCGAAGGTTGTGTAGGCGGCTTAGAGGTTTTTCTGTTTCGGCGAATTGTTGGACCCTAAACCCTGAACCCTAAACCGAATCTATGCCTCCTTTGGAATCCAAAGGATTTCCGCCCGACTGTTCGTTGTCTGCGTTCAGTGCTGGAGACGTCGCTTTGTATGGGAACCCATAGTAGTTATAGTCTCCATTGTAGTTCCTTTTTTGGTTAACCAGTCTTATGGTTAGGATCCTATAGTAGAGTTTTTGGTTAACCAAAAAAAGGAACTACAATGGAGATTATAGGTAGACTGTTGCGTTTGATTATGGCCCCAATGATAGACTGTTACAGGGTGGGGGCAGTCCCCAAACTCTACAAATCCTAGGTGCGTGTGAGCGGGGCGGCCAATGGCAGCAAGCTCTTTACTTGCTCAGTGAGCCACTTGGCGACGGATGGTTTAGGGGTTCACGGTTTAGGCTTTTTTCTCGCGGCTTTGGAGTTAAGGCTTGCAGGCTTCGCGTTTCCTTTGGAGAAAACGCCTGGTTTGGGGAGTCTTGAATTTTTAGGGAGCCCAGGAGTCTTCATAACAAGGATCCGAAGTCTCCGGGTTCTACACAATGGTCTTGCAGATCCGGACGCTCTCATGTGCGAGTCCGGTGCCCACGGACCTGCGAAGCAGAGTACTTGGTCTTCTTGACATTCAAGCCCGCTACTTGTCCCTCTTGAAACCGTAGAGCTGTTTGGAAGAGGTTGCATCCTGGCCAAGACTTGAGCCCCGAAACACAAGCACACCACAATGTGCTGTTTCTGGATATCGGGTCTCACATGTCGGTTTCCGATAGAGACACGGATCATGGGCCTAGGAACTTAGAGGAGGGAGTGAGGGCGCGATGGCCTCATGGGGTGTTGTACCAACTAAGCTATCCCTTCCATTGATGTATTTGTGGGAAACTTTTTCCAGCATGCGAGCCCCTGCGATGTTGACCTCCTGAACAGTTGCAACTGTTTTGGTTAAGGTTTCGGTTGTGAGAACGGTACCCTGAACCTCAACGGCACTATAAGGCGGACGGTGTGGGGTTCAAGGCTTGACTATTGGCCCCGTGCAGTAATTACTCCTTTAAAGAATCCCCTTCCAGGGACCCTATCCTCAAATGAGGCCCCTGGATTACTATAGAGGCCTAAATAATTACCTATACTATTTTGGGGGTTCCTTGTTACATAATTTATAGTATAATGAGCTCCAAATCGTTAGATTCCCAGGCTCTTTCTGGCGGACGTCCGGGCGAACGTGGTTACGTCCATGGGTTGCAAGTGATGGGTTTCTGCTGTTGAGGAGTGTTCGATAGCAGCAGGATGAGAGCGCACAACTAGTTGACCGGAGCTGTTGTAAATCTTGACCCTTTTTTTGCTGACCATTGCGGTACTATTCGCTTCTACAAACATGGTTATCCGTACTTACGTAAAGTGCTATACTAGTACATTTTTACCCTAACTCGCTCTAATACGCAATATATGATTCCGTTCGTAGTACCCTTACGGCACTTTGCAGCTACTTCCAACTTTCACTTGCATTGCTGCTGCAAACTGCAACTGCTTGGTTTAAATTTTACACTGGTGCGATGAGGACGACGATAACGTCGACGAGACCGACGACGTCTGACAACCACCGCTGCCGTTCACGTTACTCCACTTGCTACTGCTGCTACGACGACGACACCGACGTACCACGACTACGACTACGACTGACTACGTCAACAACCACGACTTCGGACGACGACTAAGTGAACATCTGCGGGTTGATTGGTCTAAGTCAGTTCCAACCGAAATGCACATTGAAGCGGAATAGATGCAGGTATGGTGCGGCCATGTCGGCGTGCGAGACCTCTGGCACGGGAACCAGTTCGGGGTTTTCCACGCTAGGGCAGGTCCTCCGAAATATAGCCCGCAGCCTAATTCATTCAATCAGCCCGTGGAATTCTCAGCGAGTTCCCGACCTTGTAAAGCCTGTCGCCACCAAAAGTGTTGACCCGAAAGGCTTCCGAATCCCGTCGAATCAGATCGGAAATCCGACTTAGCAAAGCCAGGCTCAGGGTGGAGGCGGTTTTCGGAGTTCAAGCCTCACTGTTGGAAGCCCAGAATGGCCCGAATGGCTCAATCTTTGCGGTTTCAGGGTCTGCAGCGCAAAAGCGGCTTTGCTTTTGCTTTGAGGTTCGGATTGCTAGCGTGTTTTGGACTTTTTCCTGCACTTCTGACAATCAGTTGGCCGGTCGAATATAAATAGATTAAATAGTTACATTAGATACATAATATATTGTCCACGTACACATTCATACATGTCTCTCCCTCTCTCTGACCTATTTTGGTTTTGTCTATCTGTCTCTACACATATACATTGTGTGTATGTACCTAAGTCTGTGAATAACAAATAAAACATACATTTATATAATCATAATGATGTTGCACTTGCTCGACCTCGATGAGACACTGGAAGTGAGCTCGTGAGTAGTTCACCGGACTATTGAACATATCTCCCTGCTGCGTGTACTCAGCCATGCAGGAGGCAAAAATCTATATACTCACATACATATACATATACATGTACATGTACATGTATACATACATACATACATACGGACACGCACATACATTTAAGTCTATATATAAGTGTATAGAGATTGAACCAACCTTCCAGTGTTTTTGTTTGGGATTTCGTTCGCATTCGGGTCCCCTTGTAGGACTGTAGGTGACGGTCCACGAAAGAAGGCCCCAAGACAGACCACGATTTCCAAAAAGACACATCAGTGGTGGATTTAGCCAGTCCTCGATGCCATGCCTTCTGGTTGTTTATGTCCAGAACGTATTCCGTTCTCATTGGAAGGGCTTGAGGGCCTTGGGTTGTTCACATTGGGTTTGGGGCAACAACATTTGGGAGTTTCCGAAGATATGGGACCCAAATCTAGTACCCTAAATAGCAGCAGGTTCCGATTATAAGGACCCCAAACTAAGGTACCCCTAATTCTCGGAAGCTCCCATTTCAGCTTTGGGGTTGGGGTGTTGGGGCGTTTAGATGCTAGAAGCCAAAACCTACCAAGGAAAGCCGAGCGCTGGGATTTGGCCATGCACCTTTTTACCGAGCTTGGCCGCAGAGGCACCTCAGAATTGAAGATTAGGTCTGCCTGTAGCCGAAAAGACCTACCTTTTTAAGTAGCTATATATCTATATATATATATATATATATAGATATATATAGAAACCATAATAAGGAACCCTAAAAAGGTGGGCCATTTCGGCTACAGGTGGGCCCTAAATCATGTCTAGGGCTCATACGGTTTACAGAGCTGAGAAGGTTTATACGGTTTGTTGTCCAACCCAGTACAATCTTGTTTCAGCTACGTAATTCATATGCTACAGCATGACCCTAAACCCTAAACCTAAACCCTAAGCCGCGTGAAGGGTGAGCGGAAGTCAAGTGATGACCTGAACAGACTTGCGCTCCGGGCACGGGCTAGCGGCTAGGCAAGCGTAGGCCTACATAAACCTTCCTTTTGCGGAGCTCCCTGTTATGATTCCCCGTAAGCCGTGCTAACCCCTCGAGCACAAGCGCCACATTCTTTCCAAGCTGACTGTTGCACAGGATTGAAGACGAACCTGATCATCTACAACACAGTGGTCTGGCCAGGGGTGTTTCAAAATCAACACTAAACCCTTTCGGATTAACAGTAGTTCAACATCATGGCCACCCACAATGAGGGAGCCGATCGACTAGGACTTCGGGTCAAAGGCTTTCCCACGATGAGTTTTTTTGAGCTAATAATGTAGGGAAGTTGTTCATAAACCCCAAAACACTGTTCGGGTTATTAATGGCCCTACACTACCCCGTTTAATATCTGTAATTGTCAAGGCCCCATACTACGTCAGGCAGGCTCCTGGAGACAGCGGCACTCTCGAAAACTTCCCCAACGACTAAACCTTCTCCGCCTGTGGCTCTTCAGCCGGTGATCTCTTCCTTGTGATCGTTTGCCGGTTGCGAGCGTGAGAGTTGAAACCGTTCTAAACCTCCGCATGACCGGAGTAGCTATAGTAATTTTACGAACATACGGCAAAAACAGAGTCCCAATCGGGCCCCAATAGTCAGCCAAAGGCTTCAAAATCACAGCAAAAAACAATGCCAAACCTTGAATCCGCTTTGCAAACTCTAGGTGCGTAGTAGTAGACTATGGGGGGCTTCGCGCGTGATCCAGATAGGCTCTAGACGCGACTCGGCGATGTACCCACAATGCTGGCTTGGAAACCCTACGCATGATACTAAGAACATTGATTTGCTGTAATATTCAGAGCAACTACCAAGCATTTAACCCTTGACATGCATGTTTGCAGTTTTTTTTGGACCACCCCACAGCCCTGATACAACAAAGTGGAATCAGCGCTTCTCTACGCAATCAAAACAGGCTGCCACGAAATTTGAGTTACACGGGCGGCACAAAAATGTATTCCATGCCACATCATGCCCGAGAGAGTACCCAGGTATGCTTGTTTTGATCGTCATCGGCACCAAAATCACACAGAAAGACGAGCGATTGCCTTGTGAGCAGCTCACTACGTGCAAGCCCTTTCATGCCACACCAGCGGATTTCAACAATTGGACGTGTTTAAAGTTTAAAGACATCCTTTTTGCTGGGACAATGCTGGTGGCCACCACCGGCGTAACCGATGATGCGAAGTAGGAACATGATGACCCTAGCTTGTTCGATTTTCGGGCTTAGGGTTTATGGCTTAGGGTATCGGGTTTAAGATTTAGGGGTCTCATGACCTTCTAGCTCCGAGATTGTTCCAATTACAGGGCGTCTGTCAGCACAAAGCCTCGTACTGTTCATGTCGCTGCCTCGTGCGAAGTCCTGCCAGACTGCGGCGGCAGTTTTGCTTCATGTTTTTTATATGCAGCTTGGCAAGCATTTAAATACGATCATCTGTTTTTGAAAATCGTTTTTTCCAGGTATTGTGGAAATTTCAAAAATGGGGCGCTCGCTATTTCCGTTTTTGAAAATCGTGGGGGCGTAGTTAAATGCCGCGCCGGTGCTTTTCTCAGGTTTGACGAACCACAGGGAGAACGAGCTGTACTACTTTTAATTGAAGGCCCTGAAGGCTGCGTGCTGTCGGGAGTCCCAAGCATTTAAATCTGGGGAGCTTTTTTGAAAAACGAAATTGGGTGGGTGGCGAAAAAGCAAGTTTGAGGCTGGTTCCGATTCGGAAGAAATTGCCACCAGTGGCACAAATAAAGGATCTAAGCTCCAAAACCATCAGATCACTGCCAGAACGCTTGAGCCCCGAGTCGCCTCAAAAATTGTTCGGCCCAAATTCTACGGATGTTTAATTAATAGAATGCCATCAGACCTCAGCCCGACCCTAAATGATTTAAGTGCAAACCAATATCGCTTCATCAGCCTGCGATCTTCTTGAGCCCGTTGCAGAACCGCCAATTGCCAGGCTCAGGGCTGCTAGGGTGTGACGTTGTCGACTTCGGATTCATCCCTGTTGGAGTTCATGCGTGGCAGGTTGGGGCAACCTGAGGTTACAACTTCCAGAGGGTATGTTAAAGGGTACAACTATGGCCATCGTATGACTTACTTCCTATTCAGACCTAATCCGCCCTAGCAGGCAACCTTGTTGCAGAACATTGCGGCTTGTCTATTTAGTGTTGCGTTTATGAGTATACAGAAGCTTACATGTTAACATAAAGGTATCCCGTTCCAGCGAAACCGGTATTTAGACGGATGTTTGAAATCTACTTCTCCACGTTGTTGCTTATTGCTGTTCACAGATAATGTGCAAACAGGATTTTTTCGGCAAAACAAAAGTTAAGCGTCCGATTTTTAAATGCTCGCCAGTTCCTCCCAAATATAGAATGGTTTGTATCGGCATTGTGTTTGTGCGAATGCTGTAGGTATTATTTGTCGTTTTGCTTTATTATCCGACATGTCTGTTTCTGTTGGTTTACTTGCAGGTTTGTCTCTATGTTATCTTATGAAACACTATCTAAGCTCTTGTGAGGATACGTGAAAGCATGACAACTGCAGTAGACCCGATAATGCATAAGGCATTAAATCTTAATCCCTAGAGTGTGCTTTCGGGTAAGAACGTGGCGGCTAGCTCAACCTGTACAGCGGGGTCTCGGGTGTGGGTTTTGGGGTTCGAAGAGAGATGGGCTCGCGGATGGGAAGCGTGGGTTCTCGAACGAAGGATGCAGCACGCCTCACGGCTTCAGGGTTCCCAGAAACCCACACGTTTTTCGGGGCGGTGGCCGTTGGCGATTGGGTTTCGGGTCCATCCAAGGCCATGAGCGCATGTGAGAGTCTTGGCAACGATTTAGACAGTGCAAGTTACGTGCAAGTCTGAATCCGGCTGTAATATGTCTGCATTTTGGCAGCAACATAGTGTATGGGAGTTAAAGGTGGTTCTTCTTGCTTTCCTTTGTCACCACGTCTGAGTCACAATTCCCAATTCACGACGATCCGGCTCTTGTTGTCACAGTGTGTGTACTTGTCATTTTGGTTTCATGGCCTCATTACTGTATAGCTCAGTATTTGCCGCGTGCTCATTGCTATCGTCAAGTTTGGAAACCTGTTCCGTGCGGACATGAGTTTTACAATTGCTGCTTCGGCTTCTGTTGGGTACGATTGGCAGAAGGGTGAGGACGGCATAGACTAAACATAGAACACACTCCAAAGCCAAAACCACAAAGCCGATCTGACCTCTGGAGCTCTTGCCGAAGCGGCTCGGAAGAATTGCTTAGAGGCTTTATGGGGAGGTCACGCATCGTGCCGTGATCCCGAGCAACCTCAATCTTATAGCGCCACTTGTAGTAAACCTTAAAGGAACCCTGAAACTAGGCCTTATAGCTAGCCGTAACTAGCCTTGTCGTAGGCCTTATAACCCTGAAAGGGTTCCAGCCAGGAAGGGTGCACAATGGCAGCTGGCACTGTTGCTGCTGCAGAATCTCCTAGACGAGGTCGTTGGACACTTTTGGCATCATTCAAAAACCGGGCGGGATGTGCTGGCCTCCATGGTATCCCCTTTAAAAGAAGGGCGTAACTTGGAGAGCTATCCATACAGCTCCCCGGTGCCCTGACAAAGATGGTTCGAGCTGGTGGAACATCCACCAAAGAAATCAAGAAGCCAGCGTGCGAAGTGTAAGCTCAACCCGAAGACCCATTGCTGGACCTTGGCCCTGTAACCCCCAGAAGAACCCAAACATAGCACCCAAACCTAACATTCTGGGTGGGGCATTCTTCCTTTGTTGGCTCGCTTTAAGAGGGGATTCTAGGATATCGCAAATCCCAACCTTGTGATGCTTCCCAACAATAGGGGGCCCTAATATACTACCCTAAATTCTAAATAGTTACTATAAGGACCCCCCCAAAAAAGGCACCCCTCATTTTCGGAAACTCCTTTTTTTGTTTTTTGTAAGGTGCCTTATCGGATCCCTGCAGCAACCGCCAGGCGCTAGAGGCTGACATCGTATCCTGCGGCGCTGCTGTCAGTGCCTGTGAGAAGGCGGCCTCCCCGGAGTCGGGCCTAGGGTTTAAGAGTTTAGGGTTTATAGGGCTTATGGGTTCATGGGTTAAGGGTTTAAGGGTTCAGGGTTTAGGGTTTATGGGTTAAGGGCTTAGGGTTTAAGAGTTTAGGGTTTAGGGTTTTATGAAATCTCCTTTCTGATATTGCGATTGCCAGAGTGGTCAGTGTGAGTGTGTAGCCACAAGAGGTGGGTGCAAAAGGGTTTAGGGTTTAGGATTGTGCAGACCGGAGCGAGTCAGCTGTCCTGGCGTGACGTTGCAAGCCGTTTGTAAAAGGATCTAGCGCTTTTGGGGTTGAGGCTGTTTGAGGTTCATGGTTTTGGGTGTTCGTCATAGGGTTTTGCTATCAGCGTTGCCCCCTTGGGGGTTCAAGTTCTGGGTCTGCGCTGACCAGCAGCATCAGGGGATGTGGGCATGTTTGTGGTGTCTATGTTTCCAGAGCATCCCCAGAGCAAGGGGCGGATTGTAAACAACCGTAAGACTTGAACATGTTCTTGTTTTGTCGTAGCTAGGTTACTCTTTCAATAGTCAACTCAAGCAAAGGTTCTTGTTCACTCAAACCAAACCCCACAGTCTGGAACTTAGTCCTAAACTCAAGTCTGTCCGAGGCTCATGCATCGGTGTCCTGCGATATGTCCTGCCTCACGTTGGCGGTGGCCCGAACCCTCCCCCAGATTTGCAAATACTGGAAATCAGGTTCATGGGCTGGGACGCTCAAGCCGTATTACCTCAATCATCCGAAATCCACATGCCATGCCGAATCCCTAGATCCAAAGATCCTCAAGCTGTACCCCGAGAAGCCTTCATCCCATACGAGAAAGCATCAAATTACTTGACCCTTGGTCCTCACAGCAAAGTCCTCCATCGTAGGCCCTTGAACCCTGAAAACTAAACCGTTTGCAAAGGGCAGGCGCTGGGACGCCGCCCTGGCCTTACTTCTGGAACTGCCCTCGCGAGGACCTCCGAAGTCCGATGTAGGATCATCCACATCGAAGGTTAATGTAGGGGCCTGAAGAATTGCCTATACTGTTTTGGGTGTTTCTCATTATATTTATAGCATAATAGGCCCCAAAACCTAAAACCCTATTAAGGCCCCCTTTTTAAGCCCCGGTCAATCTGTTGTTGGGTAAGGGAACTCGGCAACTGCGACATTTCCTGCACTCTGAAGCTGGAACCTTAGGACAATATCTGGGTTCAGACCGGTGAGAAATTTCGGCCAACCGGATCTTACTTTTCGGGCAGAGTCCCTGTAAATTCCATTCTCTTGTCTCAATACCAGAGATGCATATTACCCTGAGGGTCCATATGCCCAACTAGTACAAGACTTTGGGCCCAATGTACCGATATAGGGAATACTTTCAGGCCAAAAAAGTATATACTATGTGGGTGCGTGGCCCTTAGGGTTAGTTACTGGTCTGAGACCTGCTCTTCGGGGTTGAGAGGTTTGGAGTCTCGAGTCTTGAAGTCAAGACAGCGCCTTTCTAGATTCTAGAATTAAGTGAAGACACTTCAAAACACCCAGATAGGCCTAAGCCCAACACCCAAACCCCAAACCCAGACCCTGAACCGTAACGGTTCGACTCCTGCTAATCCTAGGTCCTAAGCTTCTGAAGGGGTTGTAGGCATTTGCCCAAAATCCCCGGATAGGCTTTAGTAAAAAGGGTTCTATGCGTAAGGCATCTCAACAAGTCAATATGTCCCATCAAAGCAAAATTAGTGGCAGTGTGTCTTCTCGCTTGGATAGTTTGCGCCTCAAGTCCCGGCTGTCGTTATCAGAAGTCAAGGCTCTCAAGTGTTTCGGCTGGTTTTGCGAATGTTACGGGGAAATGCAAGGTCCTGAAATCCTCAACCCTGATTCCCGCACATCAGCGAAGCTGCCCGACACGAACCTCCCAAACTCTTCACCGTGAAGGTGGCCGTGAAGTCGGTTTAGGGCTTTTCGATTTACTTCGCGCGTTAGGGTTTAGGGTATGCCTAGCGGTAGAGTAGGTGACGTTTAACCTTTTCTGGGTAGTATAGCCCCTATATAATCTCCATAGTACCAAAAAGGTTAACCTTTAGTTCCCCATGATACCCGACAGGTAGGTATAGGGTGTATACGACGTCTGAATCCGAGTGAGAGAGGAGTGCAGCCCAACCTCATCGTTTGCTGTGCAGCTCTTACGGCAGCCTGCCACAGCAGTGAGCCGCTGGGGCGCGCTTCCAACGTAGGGCCTCCACGTCAGTGTTTAGTTTTTTTCTGAGTGCTCCTTAGCATTCTTGTAGATTCCCCAAGCTCTGGTTGGGAAAGATTGAGACCACCCCTCCCATTTGTACCCGAGGTACAGGGTTCGGGACAGTCGAGTGGCTCGTTTCAGGACGATGGTGTTTTCCTTGAAGCTAGGAGTGGAGTAAAGCAGGCGGACGTTTTCATCTGATTCTCGATTTCTTTATTTCTCGTTTTCCTTGGAAGATTGCTGGGTTCTTGGCTTTTGGAGTCGAAATCTGCGATGCTCGGTTTCCCCAAGTCCCTGAACCCTATGAATGAAACCTAAACCCCGAACCCGAAACCTTTAAGCTGGGGGTTGATGTGGCCTTCGTGTGAGCCTTTTGGTTTCCATTTTGGGGGCGCCCCATCGGGGGCACACTAGATTTCGGATCCGTTTGTTGAAACTCTACTTCGGGTGCTTCTCGGAGTGATTTGCCAGGTGAGGGTTTGGAGTTTGAGGGATTTTGGTGTTTTTTGTTTTTTTTTGGGGGGGGAGGTGGGGTTGAAATAGAAAGCCCAGAACCCGACTTAAGCGAAACCGAAACTCAGGTGAGGTTAGAGCCATAACCTGCACCTGGGATTTTCGGTTTAAGGTCCCCCCAAGTTTTGAAAGCCCCCCTAAACCCTAAACCCTAAACCCTAAGCGCGGCTATCAGAGGTGGCGGGCAGCTTTCTGCCTCTTCAAGGAGATGGGTCAGTCAGGCAGTATGGCTCTCGACAAGTGTTTGGTACTTGATGCCGTTTGTTTTTGCGTTCACGGTCTCTATGCGTTGCGGCGTACCACGGTGAGGTGATACAGAAGGGGAATTAAGGGGTTCGTTGTGCGTGTCAACGACGATTTGCTGGCCTGTAGATGCCCCTCAAGTCGGAGTTTATTCGATTTCCTTCCTCCCTGCTCCAGGCAGCATGCCAGTCAACATAACTCCGCCGCATCGACACGACGGAACCACTTGGGGTATAGTTCTCTAAACTAGCGTGCCTTTTCGTGTCCTGCTTATCAGGGTGCCGTACTGTTTTGGTGACATACAAAAGGGACCCTCATCTAGAGACCTACCCACATGGGAGTTTCAGAAAATGGGGGGTACCTTACTTGGGGTCCTTATAATAGGGATCCTACTATTTGGGGTACTGTATTAGGGTCCCCTATTTTCGGAAACTCCCAAACCTGAACCCTCAAATCTAAACCCTTAATAGAACCCCTTATAGATCCCGGAAAGGAAACCCTTATAGATCCCTTAAAGGAAACCCTTAAAGGGTCCCCTTATTTTCGGAAACTCCCACAAGCTGCGAGAACGCGTTCTGAGGGCTCTGGAGGCCGAAGCTCGACGAATCCTTGAAGTAGCCCCGAAGGCAACCCTTAAGATAACCCTGAGAATAACCCTTACCTTAACCTACCAAAACCTACTTTTTTGTAGCGTCCCTACTATAAATTCCATATTAGGGTTTATAATAAGGACCTACAAAAAGTAGGGTTTGGTAGTTTAAGGTATTAAGGTAACGTTAGATTCAAGCATTCCTTGAAGTTAGGCGCGTTCGAATCGAACTCTGAGCCTCGCGAAGAAAATCCCTGAAGAAACCTATTCGAGCGGCCCATGGGCTAGAAATCAACTGTGTAACCTTTAAGGGCCCCTTTAAGGGTTCCTTTAAGGGGTCTAGGGGTCTATAGTATATACATATTATATATATATATATATATATATATATGGTTCCTTTAAGGGTTCTTCTAAGGGGGTCTGTCGTGTATATAGGGTTCCCTTAAGGGGGTTTATGAGTCGTCCCAGCGCCTGAATGCAATTCTTAGGGCTTATTTGTCTGGTTCTTAGTAGGGAATGGGGGAATGGATCCCACTATAGCAGTCCCTATATAATCCCCAATGCAGTCTCCAGAACCCATTCTCCCATTCCCTACTAAGAACCAGACAGTTGAGGGGTTGCATGACAGTCGAAGGCATCGAAGCAGACGCCATTGTTCCGTGGCGGGCATTTAAATTGCTCAAGCCCATTTGGATCAGGGTCTTTGGTCCGGCGAAGCCTCAACCTATACATACATACATACATACATACATACATACATATATATATATATGTTTATTTGTTAGTCGGGTGCGATATATACCAAAACCCTATTCTTCCACTCACTAAGGCCCCTACAGTACATTCAGAAATCTACGAAACCTTGCCAAGGCTTACGAAGTGGCCACCCGCTCGTGTGAGATCGGAGGGCAGCACGAGGAATCTTTGGTTCTCTTGGACGCTGTGCAACGAGGATCACTTTGGGATTTGGCTCACCGGGGCGAACCTGCAAAAAGTGATCGAGTCGGCAGCCTTTGTGGGGGGTAGTAGTCGTTTTCGTAGTAGTAGTAGTAGTAGTAGTAGTAGCAGTAGCAGTAGCAGTAGCAGTAGCAGTAGCAGTAGCAGTAGCAGTAGTAGCAGCAGCAGCAGCAGTAGTAGTTGTAGTAGTGGTAGTAGTAGTAGCAGTAGTAGTAGTAGTAGTAGTAGTAGTAGTAGTAGTAGTAGTAGTAGTATTAGTAGTAGCACTGGCAGAAGTACTAGTAGAAGAAGTAGTAGTAGTAGCAGCAGTAGTAGTAGTACAAGTAGTAAGTAGCTGCAGCAGCAGTAGTGTAGTACTAGTAGCATTAGTAGAGGTAGTGGTAGTAGTAGTTGTTGTTGTTGTTGTTGTTGTCGTGGTGGTGGTGGCGGTGGTGGCATCAGCAGTCGGAGTAGGAGGAGTAGGAGTAGCAGTAGCACTCGCAGTAGCAGAAGAGCATCAGCAGTAGGAGTAGTAGCAGTGGTCGTGGTAGCAGCTGTAGGGGTGCTAGTGGTCGGTAGTGGAAGCGATAGGGGAAGTAGCAGTTGTCGTGGCGGTGGCGGTGGTGGTGGTGGTATCAGCAGCGGAAGAAGACGTAGTCGTAGCAGAGGCATTGTTTCCGTATTGGTTGTGGCAGTGGCAATGGTAATTTTGCAGTAGTGTGTAGTAAGTAACTGTAGTGGCTACTAAGTGGTAAGTCGTAATTAGCAAGGCGCAGATAGCAAGCTGATGTCGTTGGTTGTGGTTTGTTGCTGCTGCTGCTGCTGCTGTTCCTGCTTCTGTTGCAGTTGCTGTTACTGCGGCTTTTTGCATTTGGCGTTGTTGATTACAGCTGGCCCTGTAATCGAGATGATGCGACGGATTCCTTTTCTCGGCTTGCAAGGTCGAGGCATCATTAGGGCACACACCAACCCCATCTCACGGTCCGGTCCGATCATGACTGTGCCTTACACCCATCGGTGAAAACACATGACTTTCGACCCCCTAGGGCCGTAAGGTAAGTCCACGGCTTGACAAAGTGGCACTAGCAGCAGTTGCCCTTTGCGAAGCCCAAGAGCCGTCAAGTGCCACCCCCCGTTCCGACACCCACGCTGAGTCCTCCACCCCTCAGTTTAGATGAGCGATGCATCACAAACTTTCAAACGTCATTCATTGAAATCCCAGAAAGCCTCGGGTGGCCATGGGCGGATTCTTCTCCAGCGAAGAGGCTGAGAATGAGGAGGCAGACACTGCCGAGAGGCTTGGCGAGGGTTCTTCGATACACCGAGCCCTTGCACTCGAAAGCCTGAACTCAGTCGACGACCCAGAGAGTAGACGTCAACAGCCACAAGTTCTGTTCTTCGGCGTGGAGCATCAGAAATGTTAAGACCAGTCAGTACAGGGCGCCCGTCCCACCTTGCCCCATGACTCGAGTTTCTCATATTGGCATCATGCAGAACCCGAGTGATGAACGAAGGTTTGCTGCCCGCGGCCTCAAGCCTCACCCTGGCATCATTTCCTGTCGCCCTGCCTCCCAAATCTACAGTACAGCTTTCGCCTAACTTATATGATGCTAAACCCTGAACCCCATCCCTAAACCCTGCACCCTCGTGATCCCTCGTGTGTTTCTGCGAGCCCATTTTCCCAGGCATGCCGAGGACATCCGTGGGCAGACGACGAGTCTGCAATTAGATGGGGCAGGTCTGAGCGTCTCGGTTTGCCTTACAGACCCGATGCTGTCGCCGCCTAAATAAATACCAGTACCTATACTACTTCGGCGGTTCCTTATTACAACTATAGTGTATTGGGCCCCCAAACCCCTATTCTAATTATCAAGGCATACTTCTAGTACAATGGGTGCCCATATGATATAAGCCCTAAAAGGATGCCTGCTGTCTCAGGGGCCTGGACCTGCCAGAAGGTCGCAACACCCAAGACTATATGCATTAATCCTTTGCTCCTTTCCTATCTTACCCCAGTATGAAAGTGCATTTTCGGCGAGAACCTTCAACTTAGTTCCTCATGTTTATTAATTTACAATTCACGTTTCTCAGTGCTTTATTTTAAGCCCGTGTTGAAGGTTTAGACATGCAGGCAAAGGTTCGGAGGTGCAGGTGTAGGCAGCGGGGTTGCTTTTGTAAGCCTCACCTTTCTTCAGCATGCCAGCCCCTGGACATAGCTTCCTAATGACTTACTTAGTGAGGCAAGTTTGTATTCAACCAACTTGAAGTCGTTACATGGCTTGAGGTTTAGCGAAGTGGCAGTCAACTCGATGCTAAGATGGCTGAAGCTCTGCCTCCTTGGTCTGCTTCTGCTGCTGCCACTTTGGCCACCACTACCAGTGCCGGCTGCTGCTACTTTTGAAACGGGGGGGGGTGGTTGTTACGCATGTGTTGCTGCATTCATGTCCGACGCAGGTGTAAGGCGCTTGTTTGGAAGACCCTTTCGGGGCATACTACGGCTGGAATACCATGTGCAATTCTTCAGACCCCTACTCTCCCAAGAGGGTCCAACGTACCTCTATAGTCGAATGTAGGGTTGCTGCATTATGAAGTTCTGTTATGGTTTGGGGAAGTATATTTCCCATAACAGTACCACTCAGTACCTATAGGACCCTTTGGGTCTGCATCTCCCCTATGGAAGTGCCCTGGTGGTCGTCGCTCTGAGACGGGTTTGCACCGAGGCGAGCAATCCGAGCCTTCCTATCGCAAGCTTTGGCACTGCTCTTAGTCGTTGGTTTCGACGCATAAGGGAGTTTCTGGAAATTAGTGGTACCTCGTTTTGGGTCCTTATTACGACCTGAGGGCACCACCTATACATTAGTAAGGTCCCATATTTGCGGAAACTCCCATAAGACCATAAGACTGTCTTTGATTGTAGGAGTACATGTTCTTAGTAGCGTCTTTTCGGGCCGCAAGACTTTCACGCAGGTTGTAAAGCACATGTTCCGTTCATGAATGCCAAGGTGCTGCTTGAACCTGCCTCGCCAGGCCTGCTGTACTGCTACTTCTGCCTCTTGAACCAGGTTTCACACCCTTCACCCAACAAATCTGACCAGCTTAGTCGGCTGGCTTTTCGCTTGTTGGAACAGAAGGGTTGTATGTGGGGATAGACCTACAGACATACATGCATACGTACAGGTGCATACATACCTACACCTAGACCTGCCTGCAATGCATGCGGCCTATTGTTACCTACATAGACACACACACACACACACACACCTATGCTCGCAGACAAATACTGTAATGATAGGTCGATAGATGGGTAGTTACAGACACAAGTACAGTCAGCGGTCTGCGTGGGGAACCTCATTAAATTCGCGAATGCGGCGTATTTGCCGGCACGCAACAAAGCTTCATTGGTAGTCATGTTCGTCATCTCTAGCAGGGAATCGCAAGCATAATGGCTTCGACAAGGCCGCGGAAGATCTTCTTAAGATTCTCTAGAGCTTTCTGCTTCTTCTTTCGGTTATGGATTTCTTTGTCGAAGTTACCCTACACCCGAAACCACCCACCACAAGTCACCAAGCGAGCTTGAGTGCAGGACTGTGGCTGGCATGGCGTGCACGTGCCTGTCAAGGCTCTCAGGGCTCGCCTGCTGAATTCCTGAAGCGTCCCGTTTATTTTTGGGTCGGAACTATATTTTAATGTCCCGTCATAGTCCCAATGTAATATGTTTTGACTTTTCCCCACACCCTACTCTAAGTAGTCAGGCATATATAACTATATATGTATATGTATGTGTGTATATGTATTTGTATGTGTGTGTATATATATATATATACCTGTCCGTTTCAACTCTAGTTACTTTATCACCAGCCTCCCAAGCCCTAAGCCCGGAACCTGTGCACCTACCCATAAACCTCCAAGTACGACAGGGGCCTAAGTAATTATCAATACTATTCCGGGGGTCCTTTATTATGTCTATAGTATAGTGGGCACCAAACCCTATTCTAATGATTAAGGCCCTATATATATATATATATATATATATATACATATTGTAGTACCCTTATAGGTCCCTTAGAGTAACCCGGACAGACCCCTGCTTATAGTAGACCCCTGTAACGGAACCCTATTCTAATTATCAAGGCCCCCTTGTACGAGGGGCAGAGAGTCTTCCTCGCTTGCAGGTCAACTCCCTTGAGCCGACGAGGCAGACGGAAGCTGATAGCCCCAAGCCCCAATGTAGGGCTTATGGGGTTTAGCACATTGGGTTTGTATGGTTTATAGGGTTTGTAATCGGGCTTTTTGGGTTTATAGGAGTTGTAGGACTTTATGGGACTTTACAGGGTTTAGGGAATAATTGCGAATGTTATTTCTCAGGGTTCCTTACTATAACTATACTATCAACGACATGTCCTACCCAAAGAAATCCCTTGTAGTTCCCCGTGTTTGGTTAAACTCCGTTCCTTTTGGGGTTAAACTTTCATAACCAGCCAAGATCCTGCAAGACGACCACGAAAAGGAACTACAATGGAGACTATACGTAAAAACGCTTTCCGTCGAGATTCTTTTTCATGGCGGAAAAGTATCTTTGCGGTGATTTTAGCAAGACTTGCTTTCCAGATTTTCGACACCAGTACAAAACGAACAAGGCGAATCCTATCCTATGCAAAAAGCTGCTCATCAGGCATAAAGCTTATGCATGTAGGTCAAGGTGGACCAGAACCCGGCACTTCACAGTCATGACGTTGACGTCTACGGAGTTGGTTTATGATGTGAACACGTTTTACTTCCTGCCGAGCTGAAACGCGGAATCATAGATACATGTGTTCAGCGATGCGGGTTGGGGACATCTGGGGAAAGCAGCTGAAAACCAGCCATGCAGCAGCAGTAAATCCGAGACCTCAATTACATCTGGCCAATATGCGTGAATATATATATATATATATGTGTGTGTGTGTGTCTGTGTCTGTATATATATATATGTACATGCATAGATGCATACATACATTTACAGTGATTTTTTCAAAAATCTGTGCCACTTTCAAGCCGAAGCCGAAGCTTGGAGGAATCCACACCCTAAGGCGCGAACCTGATTAAGAACTGTTGCTGTCTCACAACACAAGGGCACTTCACATGGATTGGTCCCCTTCGGTTAAAGCCAAGGTCTACAATCACAGATCAGAGGCCGCAAACAGCATTCTGCCTAAGCTTTTTCGGGGAGCGAGAAGAGAGGGAGGGAGGGAGGGAAGGGGGAGGGCAGAGGGTGGGAGAGGGAGGGAGTGTCTCCCAATCTTTATCAAAAACTTATCGTGACCCGAACCCCAAATCTTGATTTCAGACCCCCCTGCCAGAGAAACCCTTCTCTTTAAGGTATACGTAGTATACGTGACATGAACATGAATCGGAGCTGAACACCTCGAGCTTGAACCATAACACCAAGGTTCAGGTTTACGGCTCGGGGGTCATGTTGAAGAACTGCGGTTTCAGAAGGCGGCTACTTTACTTACCGGCTTCAAAATGTGGATCCTGCGCAGGTCCTCTTTGTGCGTGTATATCAAGGGTGCCTGATGTCTCAACTGCGAGTGTTGTGTTTCCGACCTTCTGCGCTAGAATAGCAGAGGAGCGGCGGTCTAGATTTCCTTATCAGGGCTTAATGGGGCCTTAACTCGTCTAATGAGCCCGCGTGCACATCATTGTGAGCCTTCAGGCCTTCTGCTTACTTGCAACGACTCTCCAGACACGAACCACTCAGAGTGGCAAGAGTTTAGGGTTTCGAGTTTTTTTTGGTTCCTCTCAAAAGAAAAAGATTCATGTTGAGGGTTTGGGGGTTTAGGGTTTAGAGTCCGGTAGCAGGAAAAGGGGTTTAGGGCTTAGGGTTCCCTATATCGCTGTTTGTCAGGATCGAGACTGAGAATTTCCGTGGCCACATCCTTTTCCTGCACAGGCCGGGCTTCCTTTAGTATCGAAGCCTGCATGTAAATAGTACGTAGCAGAACTATTATACATGTGTATATATATATATATATATATGTATGTATGTATGTATGTTTATATATATATATATATACATATATATATATATATATATATATATATAGTCTAAGTTTGCGTTTTTTACAAGCCACGAACCCCAAGATGACCGACCTTAAACCGCAGCCAGCCGCGTGCCAGTGAGTCGAAACCGTCGAAGCCTCACCCAAAAGCCCTGCTAGAGCAGAGGTCGAAGGTCTTTGGTCAAGCGACCTGGATTTAGGGTTTAGGGTTTGATTTTCCGAGTACCTGAGAGAGAGAGAGAGAGAGAGAGAGAGAGAGAGAGAGATGGAGGGTTTGGGGTCTCTAATGCACGAGCCATCGATGAGGCGGGCAGCTCGGAGGCACTTCAGAGAGACCTCGTTCCCAAAGGGTTCTCCGGAAGTCTCCCTCCTCGGTGTGTTGAATATGCAACAAGCCGTTGCTAAGCCAAAATTACTCGAAAACTCGTCCTTTTCTCCTTCATGTCGTTTGCATCTCAGCTGCTTCTCTCATTTTGAATGCAGGGTCTTAGTTGCAACGAGCCAAAAGGCTGGTTAACCAGAACATGCAGCACCTTTCGACATTCGAGAGTGGAGGTAAGGTCGATACAGTTAGAGTTCAAGCTGGTAGTCTTCCGGGTTAGGCTTGTGTTGGGTCAGATGAGGATTCACAAAGACCGTCAGATCACTGCTACGACGGACTATTCACCTTCCAGACAAGACCAACTACTTTACCCAAGGCTGAACCCGCCGAAATACGATGTCATTGACCCGTTCCGTCAGTGGCACCATCAGATATATAAGACTGTTTCTCGATTTTGCTGCTTTACTTGCACTGACTATTGGCATAGGTGCCTAGTGTGGTGACAGATGCTTTCGAGGTGTTATTCAGCTGCGGCCTTTGATTTATAGGACCTGGGCAGTTGTGCCTTCAAGGCTCCTCCCTACACCCTGAAAACCTAACTCATAAACCCTAAACCCTAAACCCGAAATGGCTGTCTAAGCCTTTTCAGAGTGTGGACTGCTTCCTCTGGTGAACAGGAGCTTAAAAAAACGAAATACATGACTTGACGCGGCAGGCCCCTCGAAGAGGGTCATCCCTGGCCGTACGGGAAGCCTCGCAGCTGCAAGCACTTGACTTTCATTAGGTTTAGAGTTTAGTGTCATTAGGCGGCTTTTCGGACCGATTTCCGCTGCCATAACTCAAAATAGGGGTCGTGTTGGGCTTGTACTGCACGCTCATCTCAACTACATCCACCACCCCACCCATGAGCGAGACTTGCGCATGTTGACGGTGGTGCGTGGGTAAGAGGCAACAGACAAAGAAAACCAGAAATCAACCTCATGCATCCATACATACATACACACACGCACATCGACATACACGTGTTATATTTACCAATATTTTCGCAGATGCATATGCCATGTCGCATCATAGTACCACGCATTATGTCATGTGGTGAACTGCATTTTCTGTTGTGCCAGGATGTCACAACACACCAGCCGTATCATCATGTCGCAACTTATGTACATGCACATGATGATGTAAATGCTTGTTCACGCATCTGCACCTGCATATAGGCAGAGGCGGTGCAGGTATATGCGCATGTACATGCATGCATATGTTTTTATGTGTGTACATGTATCTGTAAGAATACACTTCTTATGAGTATATACAAACCTGCTGCTTATAAGTTTGTTTACTTGCAGAAGATCCTCACGATTCAGGCTTTCCGTGCGTGCGGTTTTGGGTGTGGTGTTTAGGGTGTAGCACTTGCTAGCAAGCCGGTAGCCGTAACTCAGCCAGCCAGGACTATCTCTTACTGTTAGCATACTTGGAGGTTCATGGGTAAATGTAGGTGGCGTTATAAGTTATAAGTCCCCTAATATGGGTTATAAGTATAGTTACCCTACTTATAACCCTACTTATAAATACCCATGAACCTCCAAGTATGGTTTCTCACTCATGTAACAGCCAGGTAAAAATGATAAGACTTGACATTTGCAACCACTGCAGCAACCAAAACCAAACAGCACATGAGAAACTGCAGCCAGGGACAACAGCACTCCTATATCCTAAACCTCTGAGGACGGTATATCCATCTGCAGACCCGCCCAAGAAGCGACAACAGCCCAGGCAATTCGAGGGGAAGTCGCGAGTTTGGGAGCTGCGCGTTCAAGGCCCCTCAGTAAGGTTTTGTTTTCGCTTCACGTACGATGCAGGGGGTGTAGGGTTCAGGGTTTCCGGTGCTCACGGAATCTAGCAGAGCCAAGCACAAGAGAGCATACCACTGACGTAGGAGTTGAGAATGTGCCTATTGACACCGCTCGTAAAGAGAGGCCTTCTCTGATCTTTCTCCTAAACCTCGCCTGAGTTGCTCGAGGGCAAGTGCCAAATACGACTGACGTCTACTGACCATGGTGCTGGTTGATTGGAATGGTAATGGCAACGGTGGTGGTGGTGGTGGTGGTGGTGGCGGTGGTGGTGGTGGTGGGAGACCATAGCCGCAGCAACCCAAAAAACAACGCTGTGCACCACCCGGCCAACTCCCCCGCGAGCGTGAGAGCCCGAGGCTCAAATCAGCCGCAAGCCTCCCTTAAAGTCGAATCTATCGCCTCGAGGGCCTTTTTGCAGGTGGCCAGATTGTCAGGGCTGTGGGCTCGAGACGATTTAAGAAAAGGCTCAGCGGTTGAAAGATAGGGGAAGACCATGGGTCAAGCTAGCAATGCTGCTAAAAAAAACCGTCCCCTTCACCTGTTGCTCCGGTGGCATCGGAGGGGTCTGAATCTCTGGTGATAGTTATCACTGTTCTTATTGCGATCCTACTATGATGCGGCCCAAACCCTCAGCATATTAATCGTGGCTGCTAGATTTCCAGAAACCGCAGAGGCCGCCAGAATTCACCCCAGGGTGCCACCATGTGCTGCCGAATCTGGACCGCCGGCGCAGTCACACGAGCTGTAAGTATCGCCGAAGGTTCAAGTACCAGTATCCACTGCACCTGAGTCGCATTCGTGGTGTAGAGCTCTGATGATCAAACCCGCCTCCGTATGGAGATTACAGCAGTTCCCTTCAATCTCAAAGAAAGGGGGCTGTTTTCGTCAGGGCTTCTTGTCTATAGGCACATGGACGCTTGGTGCAGAGCTAGCAGCTAGGCTACGATGCCACAGCCCGGTACCTTGCACCACAAACTTCGAAATCCGACCTCTTAAATTAAGCACTATATTCTAGATGGCTCGTCTTGCAGAAAAGCGTTCGTCACAGCATTGGCCTAACCTGTGCTAAAGACACCTCGCCCATGCGAGGTGTCTTCATCTCAGACCCCGGGGACATCCATTTCGCAGTGGAGCTTGAGAAGCCGTGCCTCGTCTTGAGCAGAGCTTTGGACCATTCTGATGAAGGAGGTTTTGTGTGTAGACGGTCCAGAAATTTGGTGATTGAGAGTTTATAGCCTAAATCTGAGAACTTAAAGCTTTTGGAGCTTGGGTTTTCTGAAACTGATCTGAAGTTTGGCTTGGGGCTGTATGCGTGTAGGTCTTTGAGAACCGTGATCTGCAGGCAGAGACCCCGGTCCGGAGAATGTTAACCGCAAGCATGTTCTGCCCTAATGTGAGCTCGTGATTATTAAAAGTCCTCTCAATAGAGCTAAACTCGGCCCGGCACACAACAATAAAAAGGTCTCCTCAATAGAGCTAAACTCGGCCTGCACACAATAATAAAGACCCCTCAATAGTCCTGAAACCCGTCCCGCCCTAAATTTTTTAAGGTTTCGGTAGAGAAGCACTCCTACTACAGAGTGACGCCCCGGAAGAGGAGAGAGCCCAAGCTGCTCCGTAATTACTGTACTACTGTACTATTACTGTACTATGACGACGATTGTACTACTAAGCTACTACTGTACTCTTATTTGTATTAATACTGTACTACTGTACTATACTACTGTACTATTGTATTACTGTACTATGCTACTGTATTACTGTATTACTGTACTATTGTGCTTGTACTACTGTACTACTGTACTACTGTGCTACTGTACTACTGTACTACTGTACTACTGTACTACTAATTACTGATAGCCCCGGCCCCCAAACAACTTCGACCCCGGCCCCCCAAACAACTTCGACCCCGAAGCGCAAACACGCTGTGATTATGATGGAGTTTGTTCTTGTTTGGGGGGGGTTAATAATCAGGAGACCACATTAGCCATGCCAGCATTTCTGTCCTAACCTTTGCATCGGATTTGTCCTAACCCTTGATCGGAATTCCCTTAACCGCCTGCACGCATTGTCCTAATCGCGAAGACTGGCAGTTAGTGCAGTGCTTTCAGGCCTTGCCAAGTCTTGCAAGCATGTAAAACGTCGGGGGCTGCTGGGCTCGAGTTACAGCTCAGTGTGTGACATGGCGAAGCCATGCATGCCCAACGATGAGTACAGCAAGGCATGGGGCAATAAAGCACCCATCACTAGTCCATCACCAAACAACAATTGCTGGATGTCCGTCTTCTTTACGTGCCTCCAGACGGTCGGTGCTTCTTCTGGGTCCTCCTCGTAGACTCGCTGTCGGAGGATGAGAAGACGGAGTGGCGGTTAGCAGAGCGATGCAATGGCTGGCCAGTGGACGCAAGTCGGAAGCACCAAGAGCATCGCGGGTTGCTCAACATTAAACTTCTTCATTTTTCAACATGCCGTGACCGACTGGGCACGATCGATCTGGTGGTTGTTCAAGACCCGACGCAGGAGCAGAAGCTGGAGGCCTTCTTCCGCAGCAAGTTGAACGTGAACACCCAGTGCAAGACTGCGTTTATGAACAGCCGAACGCCATGTGCCTGGCCAGCAGGAAGGCAGACAGGTTGATGCGTGCGATTTTGGTGATTTGTCCACGATTGCACATGCATGCCTAAGTCGAAGACGAGATCCTTCAAGTTTTGGAGGACAATGGGATGCAGCTTTATCAGTTCGGAACATGCGCGGAGTAAACCTGGCATGTCTTGTTCTGCAGGCAACGTTACCTGACAGCTCATGCTTTGTTGCCAGGCCTTTGCAGCCGATGCCAGTGTGGGGAGAGGAGTCCGCCGACAAGACGATCTGTGTTTTGAATGCAGGCCTCATCATGAGTCAAGCTTGATTGATGGACGTGTATCTTGTGAAACGCGCACTTCATTCTGGGGATCGGTGGATGGAAGTGGCACTACCCACGAGCACTTCACATACATGTGGATAGTGTCCAAGGAGGGCTTGTGTCGGGTTGCATTTTGATTGAATAATTAGCCGGTTTTGCTGACAGGACTTGCGACCCGAAGACCTTTTGAAACAGCCGAAGACGCAACAGAAGGTTGGATTGTTTTCGGCTCTTGTTGTTCTGATGATGCTGCTCAGACGGGTTTGCTTCCAAACGAGATCAGAGAGCCACACGGGGGAAGGGGGAGGGCGGGCAGGGTTGTTGTTTCACGGGAGGTGGGGCGTGGCTACTAGGCTGTTTTGCAGAGAGCAGAAGAGTGACAATACAAAAGTTATCATTATCATGGGAAGCTCGGGCGGAAGGCTATAGACCTGGATGATGATTCGGATGCCGATTCGGCAGAGGCGGTGAAGCCAGCGCAAGAGGCGAGGGCGTTTTTGTTTTTTTTATATAAGCCTTCTACTTGTAATTTCTTGGAAAGGCTGCAGACGCCGACATGAGAACCAGCGAGCAGAGGAGGTGAGGCCTTTTTTTTGCGAGGTCGTTCTTGTTGTTTAATAAGCCTTTTACTTGTAATTTCTTGGAAAGGCTGCAGACGCCGACATGGATAACCAGCGAGCAGAGGAGGTGAGGATTTTTTTTGCGAGGGCGTTCTGTGTTTTTTTAATATGCCTTTTACTTGTAATTTGTTGGAAAGGCTGCAGAAGCCGACATGGAGAACCGGCGAGCAGAGGAGGTGAGGACGTTCTTTTGCGTGCGCCGTCCATTTGCCATCTGGAAAGGCTGCTGCGCGAGAAAGTCGCTGAAGGCCCTGAGGAACAAGGATCTGCAGGCCGCTGACCTATTCCTTGTCCATACGTATCCGAAAAACTGAATGCATCCCGCAGGAGGTGTTGTCCAAGGCTGGCCTTGCCATTCGAGGCAAGAAGCAAGTCTTGGTCGTCACCGCCTCGGCTGTTGTTTACACAAGTTTATGTGGCATCGAGAGGGGAGGAGAGCATTGCAGTTTTTAGCATGTTGCTCGCAAGATAACGCCCCAGTGCATGGTTCGATACAGTGTCCCGCAGCGTGAACGGCAAACACCCTGTTAAGTTGCTGCAGCGAGGACTTATGACGAGAAGCTCTCCGACGACAAGGGGCAGTTGGGATTCGTGATCCGGCAGGTTGCTTGAGGCGAATGAGCCAGGCTCCTTCTCCGGTGGATGGATGCGCGCGGTTAGAGAGAAGAACCTGCATGCGGTTAGAAAAAACAAGAGCGCTGTTAAGATGTCGTGTTTTCAACGTGGTTAAGAAATCATTCCGCCCTAAACCCTAAGTTCAAAAGCTTGTCAACCAGATGTTAGGGTTTAGGGCACCTGGCTCCTGAGGATGACTCTCAGCTGGGCCTCGCAGGCCTTCGGCTTGGTATGTTTGTCGCTTTCTGGGCAGCGAGACTTCATCACTAGAAGCTTGAAATACGGTTCAATGACCGGTAATCGCTTAGGGTCCTTAGGGTCTAGCGTTAGTCCGAAATGCTTTCAAGAACTCCAAACTCTAAAATCCAAAGGGTTACTTTCAGCTGATTCTTTGAAGTCACCCTGCAATGCGCTAGGTAGGAGGGAGAAAAAAGTTGCTTCAGGTTTCGAGGCTGGAACCCTAAACCCTAAACCGTTGCAGAGTTGTCGTTGAACTGGGGAAGTCTCCCATCTGGTGCGCAAGCAGGACAGAAGATGGCCACTTGCAGGGGTAACCCCTAAACCGGTAACCTTAAACCCTCGTGCCGAGAGACCTCGTCTGGCGAGTCCGAGTTGCGAGTGTTTAAAGCCCTAAACTTTAACCCTAAACGGGTAACCCTAAAACGACTATTTTGGTCCTCTCGTCGGTCATTGTGGAGTTCGGGGCACTAGGCCCTCAGTGAGGGCGTTTGGGTTTCCAGGGGCAGGCCGTGGGTTTCAGCCGGGCTAGCGTTTGGGCACCAGTGAGCCGTGAGCCTTTCGGGTCTTGGGCTGTTGAGCGCAGCTATTCTATAAAGGAGCCCAGCAAGCATTCTGGTCGCCAAGGCCCCTGCATTAGGCTTAGACTGTTACTGGCTTTATGATCCCCATACCATGAACCCTGTACACACTCAACACACGCACCCAGCAGGGACTTCGGATTTAAGCCCAGAAGCTCCGATATTGAAGTTTGAGAAATGGACTTCTGGAATTCCGGTGTGGCTTCTTTTCGTGAGTGTCAGGATGGCCCTTAAACCATAAACCCCAAATTGAGAAGTTGGAGTTTGGTCTTTCTGCATTCGTCAGAAGCGGAGCCGCTCCAGGTGACGATGAACATGATCATGGCCTTTGCCCATGCCATGACTGCCGCCGACATCTTAAAGCTTAGGCTTGAGGGTTAACGGGGTTGGAGTCTTCTGTCGATGACCCCTTTAATCTACAGCAGACACATCTACAACAAACGCACATAGAGAGCACGCTGGTCTTTGATAGAGGAATGTGACATATAGGTTTACACCATCTTGGTATTACATGCCGGAATCCTAGTAAACCCCAGAAGAGTCGTCTTCAGCGCGAAACTGTTTCGCTTTAGCGCGGCTAAGCATCTATTTGGGAAAGCCTGCTAAACATGCGTCAGCATTAGCCCCGTCAGCATAACCTTGTACCGGGCCTTTCGCAGAAAGCTCCGAGCCTGACTAAGTATTTGGGTTTCTACTGTACTAACTATGCAAAAACTTGTCGGCGTTATTACGAATGCTATTCTGGTAGCAGCATTCGTGTCCCCCAAGTTGCGTGGCGTCGTCTTCGACTACAACCTTTTTCACGAAGAAAGAGATGACGGGGACATGGAAGCAACCTCAGACGTGGCTGTTAGTTAGACTTCCTGGTTTGGCGCAGTATGATGTTTACTTGTAGCGGGTCTTCAGTATAGGGTTTAGCGTGTCGGGAGTGGTTCGTGAACAATCACGAATAATTCTCTTTGGAGTTCCATTGTATGATTGTTGCAGGAACATACATCTCAAGGTCCTGCTCAAACTCCGGCTGGCAGTTTCAGGTTTCTTTCAAAGATCCACAGGAGATTGACTGCCGAGGCCCAACATCCGTCACACCAAGAGAGGGTGCATAGCCTGGACTGTAAGCGGCTTTGGGCTTTGGGGTTTTCAACTTTCAGGGTTTAAAGGGAACTCCAGAAAGTTGGAATATGGATTAATGGTAGGTTCCCCTATAATTTACTTTAAAGGGGTTACGATAATGATATTTCAACTTTTACTTTAGGGGCAAGAGGTTAGGACGTTTCGGTTTCGCATCACAGAGACCTTCGGCCCTAGGCCCTAAATCGTACAGCGCTGGAAAGTAAAGAAGCCACTAGCTTTCGGCTGGGAGGCTGAAGCCAAGCACAGAAATCGTTTATGCTGAGTAGGTAACCTTTAACATTGTGGGCTTTATAATCTCCTAAGAAATTAAAACGTTCACTTTATAATTGGGTAAGGCAACTCAGCCACGAAGGAATCATACTAGCGCCTGTCTGCACCTGAAGTGTTCTCCATTGTAGCTCCTGTTTTTTGCTGCCTGCCCTTCAGACAGATGTTCCGCTTCAACCCTGAATGTTGAACAGCCCTACACCCTCAACCCTGAGACGCTTAGAGCAAACGAAGCAGTGCCAATCGCAGCCGAGATTCTGCCGTATTTCTCATGCCCGCTCGCTGGAGCCGATGTGGTCTTGCAGACCCCGCAGGCGAGGTTGTAGAGGTTAGGATTTCAAGCTCGGGGCTTGGAGGGTACCTCTAAGAGCTCGTTGGACAAATGACTGTGATTTCGGTCGTTCCGGAATGTAGACTAGTGCCAATCGTGTCTAGTCAAGATATGCTGCAGAATGTTGAAATCTGCTTCTATCCTTGTTCACCACCTCGAGAAGATCGCGCCGATTTTGTGGACGAAGACTCGAAACATATCCGGTCAGCAATGATTTGCTTCAGTGGCATCTCCGAGCGTCCTATTGCTGCGCTCTTCAAATACCCTAAACCCTGGTACCAAAAAAAGCCTCGGGGAAAAATCCAAACTCTGTCGCCGTGTCACGCAAAGCTTCTCTTTCAGGGACCTTGTCAGAGGTTTTCAAGATGGCATAGCACTAGGAGGCAAAAAGACCCTAAACCCCTAAAACCCTAAACCGCTTTGACATTCCCACTATAGAGTCGTTTCAGACCTCGAACCACATGCCTCGCCTGGATTGTCCGAGTGTGAGCGCCAAAACCCTAAACCGGCTGGAAGCGCCAGGGTGCGGCGCCGCCCCGGTTGACCGAGCCGTTCGAGAAGATGACACCCGAGGCTTTAGGGTTTAAGGTTGAGGATCGACATAGGGGCCTTAATAATTTGAATTTTTTTATCGGAAATACCGTTAACCCTAACCCGTTGAGAGGTATGGTTAAGCAGAGTATAAGTTCTCAGTTTGCACATTGCTTGCGGCCGTTTCAGCTTGTGCTCAACACGCGTGCCTGCGACCCGAAGCCATGAATCGTTCAGCATTCTGAGCAGCTTCGCTTGGCCCTTGAAGGAGAAGATGGCTGTGGAGCTGAACACCACGGACCCTCAGTGGAAGATCAGAGCCGGTAGTGTGTTAATTTTCGGATCACAGGAGTGTCGGTAGTGGCTGTATTAGTAGTCGATAGTAGTAGCAGTAGCAGTCGATTCCCAGATGATGATGATATAGAGCCTGGGTTCAAAAGTAGTCGTGGTCGTATAGGTACGTTAAGGACGTTGGCGCCGCACTCAAGCTTCAATGCAGTGTGGCCGTGATGGATCATCTCAGACATGCTTACACAGCAACAAACGAGTGCGAGTTCAAGTCTGGCAGGAAGATTCAGCAATTGCGCTCATGCTATTTTGTAGAAGACACGAAGACCACAAGGACTTGTACAGGACCTGCTTTCAGGTGACACGGGCCATGAGTATGCCGGGTCTTTGTATTGCAGACCTCAGCAGGAAACCTCTGACATCTTGACAACTGGCCGTTCAGGATACCTTCACCTTCCTCTTCTGGACAAACCGATCGGACTTCCTGCGTCACTTGGCACAGCGTGAGAGTTCCCGCAAGGGGCAGATAATGAGGGTTAACCCCTGCCCCCTACAAGTTCTGGATGCTTTACCCGCACTCATTTCCTGCTGGCTGTGCTGGCTTTAGGTGCGCCCCCGCCACAAGCTGAGCTGGGCCATCAAGAGATTTTACCAGTCAGGGTCTAGCTACTACTCTCTCGCTGGCGGAGATCTTAATTACTAGGAGAACTTTTGTTACTGATGTTCCGGTTGCTACTCTTGCCAGGCTCGTGGTTTGACCGTCGCTCTTAATTACCAGCAAAGCTGTCATAAGCTATCACCATTCCTGGTGGCACCTTGGGGGCTTCCCAACTTACGGGTTCCGTGGTTCCGGTGATCAGGCGTTCCTGCAGAGAGCTTAGGGTTCAGCGACCGGGTTTCGTGGGTGAGGTCCAAACAAGTCCCTCTCCTGGAGTCTTCATTTACATCTGGGGGTCATGGAAGTCAGGATTCTGCTTTTGGGGAGCAGTGTCCACTATTGCACCTACACCCTGAATCCTTAGCCCTATATAGGCCCTGAGTTTGGGGTTTTCCCATGGAGCTAGCTTGACTGGTGCGGGCCTCTCGCCCAGTTTTCCAAGGCCGTCAGCTGCCGCGAGCAGACTTTGGCCCGATAATTGTAACACAGAAATGGCACCCTTTTTGCCATTGCGTTCGAAACATTTGAACCCCAAGCCCTAAACCCTAAACCCTAAAGGAAAGGATTTGGATGTCTTTCCGGATAACGGTCGTCCTGTGGTGCTCCTTCACTGTTTGGGAACTCTGCCGATCGCCCAGAGCATTTCGGTGTTTCGGTTTACTGGGTTGTCCTTTGGGATCTTTTCTTTAAATTCCCCTACTATTTTGTAGAGATCCATAATAGTAAGCAATGTTCAAAGGGCTACTCAGTTTAGAGATGAACCAGGGTCAATGAATAGTAGAAGGGTCGGAGCAGTTGGTAACAGTACCCGATTGAGTCGAAGTTTTGACTATCGCAGAACACATCCTAGAACCCTACGGGGTTTCCGGAAATTGGGGGTACCTTATTTGGGGGTCCTTATAAGGATCCTACTATTTAGGGTACTATATCAGGGTTCCCTATTTTCGGAAACTCCATATAGACGACCGCAGAACACATCCTACAACCCCATTCTAGTATGACTTGATACTCTGATATATCTTGCAGTGCCGAGAAATGTCAACTCCTTGTAGTGTGAGCGAAGTCATCCATGCAAGCCAGCTCGAACAGGTTTTGTACGTAAGCTATCACTCAAATTAATGTGTGTGCACAATAATGGCTTTTGTCAATGGGCTAGAGTCCCTACCCAAGGGCCCTTGGAGCGTTCCTTTTAGGGGTCCCGAAGCGAACCCAAAAAAAATTGGGTTGAGCAAAAATTTTTGGGTTCGGTTTTGTGGGCTGTTGTGGATTTTGGGCCAACATGTGTGTTGAGGATTCGCTGCCTACTTACAGATAATATTTCGGGCTTAGAGGGTAGGATTGGGTTTTAAGCTTGGTTTTCGGCAGTACATGCTTCAAAGAGCGAGAATACATAAGAGATGCCTCGTTGCTCGGCTTTGGAGGAAGAAAGTTATGAAAGAACGCCACATATAGACCCCAAACAATATACTTCCACAAGCCCCGAAGCTTGCCTATTCTTGCCACAGCATGGCTGAAGCTTTGAAAGAAGACCTACACATGCTGGTTGTGGGCATATTAGTATGTTAAGTCCCTAATAACCCAAACCCCGTGTTCAGCCATTTTTCATAAACATTTAACATACCATCGACGAGTATATATGATTGATACATATATATATATACATACATACATGTATGTACCCCGAACACTCTGAGCCTGGCCCGAACAAGCCCCAGACCCCGAACTCACAGAAGGTTCACCCTCAGCGTGCACCCTCATCATACAAACCCGAACAGACACTTTGCACACTGAAGCGCGTAAACGAAAACAATGCTCCAAATCTCGAACGAAGAGGCCCCGTTATATTCGATCGAAAGCCCGAACACTCCCAAAGCTCAAAACTTTAACAAGTCTTACGAGCACACAACCTGATGCCCAGACCCAAGCCAACACTCAAACATAAGCTGAATGGTGCACCACGATGCTGGTCTGTGGAATCGGAGCCCGAGGCCGGGAACAGCAATTTTCCGGGTCGTTCTTTATAATTACGCTACCCAGAGGCCCCAAAGTAGTTCCTTTTCGGGATTACCCTATAGGATTCTATGTACGAACCCCCCAAAAAAAACTACTTTGGGGCCTCTGGGTATACACTTATCCCTACTTATTCGAGGGGTTCAGCGTTTAGGGCATATATAATTATATATGAGGCTTTCGTCTACCCATAGGCCACATAGTAGTTCCTTTCTGGGTTCATTTTAGAAACCTACAGAAGGTAATTCCGAAAAGGAACTACTATGGGGCCTATGGGTAGGGGTTATAAGCAAGAAATCGGTGGGGCCCTTTGAGAACTGTTATCATTTACTGAACTCATCTGCGATCATCTGCTTTCCAGAGAGGGATGCACTGCGTAGATGTTGTTAGCTTTTGGGTGGGAGTTGCACCGAAACAGGGCCTCTTGGGACTCTATGTAGACACGCGCACACAGCCTATGGGCCCAGAGACTTTGCCTGCTAGGTTCATCGACAGGTATGTCTTCTTGTGCACACATACGACAAAGATAAGTAAACATATAGGTAGGGAAACTTGGGGTGTTTGGGCATTTGCAGGCGTTAGAAGGTGACATGGAGGGACCGAGGTGTTTATGAAAGGCCACAGGCGACCTTTACCTCAGGCCACATTCCGATCATCAGGTCTCGCAAACAGACACAGCTATACAGGAGGACGCTCCTCGCATTCACAGGCAGTGCTAGGTCTGCAAGGCTCAGACACAATGACATGCATGTATAAATGCGTGCATGTGTACAACTACGATGCCTCAGCCAGCCCTGGCCTGCTTTTCTGCGGCTTCTTTGAGCCACACCCTTCTAGCTCTCACTAGATACTTGTCGATGCCACGGCGAGCAACATTGGATGGGTTCGTATTGCTAGACATCTTGCACATGCTCCCCACATAATCTTCGGCCATTTGTGTTGCCCAAAGGCTGGGGTTGTAAACAGGTTTGCCCTTTGAAAGGGGCACATAAACATCGAATGCGACGTGGGCCAAGTAGTGCATCTTTGGGACGAAATTGAAGTAACTCCAACGCCTCAGGTAATCACGTCTTGGTTTCGGGCGATTTACCCAGAGGCCCCAAAGTAGTGCCTTTTTGGGATTACCTTATATAGGAGTCTACATACGAACCCCAAAAAGGAACTGCTTTGGGGCCTTTGGGTAGGCGTTTAGGGCTTGTATATACGGTCCATACTTACCAGGTAGACATGCCCTATTTAAAAAAAGGTGTATACATACATATATATATATATATATAAGTATTTATATATTTTTATATATATATATACATGTTATATGTATATGTATATGTGTATATATATATATATATGTACATACGAAAACATGTATATATGTATATATGTAGGTATATATATATATATACACTTATATATATATATACATACACGTAAAAATGTATATATGTATATATCTGTATATCTGTATGTGTATATATATATACAGCTGGAACCCCGACATATAAGCCCCTGTTCAGAAAAAAACAACAGTCAAGTGTCCGCTGGTAGCACTCCACTGCCGCTGCATGGTATGACCTCAAAAAAGTTGTGAGGGCCATCAACCCAGTGGCAGCTTCGCCAGCTGTCCACCACACCCGGCTCTCTGAATGATGGCAAAGTCGGAAGAATGCATTGTAAGATGTCAGAGCATCCGAGCAGAGCTTTAACAAGCGGTCTGAAAGATCCAATGGAACATTCACCATATAGTCTTCCAGCCACTCCAGCATCAAAATCGTGTCTGCAGCTTTGCAAGACAGCATCGGGTATGTAGCTTGGTCCGGCCAGTGCATATTGCTTTTTGTGAAATCTTTGAGATCACGCGGGCATCGCTTCTTGGCATTGCAAAACGCCAAGAAAAACTCGTGAGCAACAGCCAGCCTGCTTTCAATGTCACGCTGTTTGCTAGCCGCCGGGGTAAAGTGCTTGAACTGGGCGATGAGCACACCCAGCACCGACGGGGCCAGGTATTGTCCAACTCCGAGTGCACCCAAGTGAAAAGTGTCCAGCCTTATGAAACTGGATGTGTCGCCACCTGGAAGTGCAGCAAACACGGGTGGCTTTGTCCATGGTTGGCTCCGGCCGATGGTGCTGATCCAGGCTGCATCGGCACTCATATCCTCAAACGGGACAGTCGTGATGTTGGCGTCACAATGCGGGCAAATATCCTTTTTCACATGGTGCCTCGTCAGGTGCATCGCTTTCCTGAGAGGAATGTATATCATCTCACTTCTACCTTGGCAAATTTCCTCTTTACCTTCTATAGTATATCTCATATGATATGTATTTATATAAATAAGTATATATATATATATATATGTATATAGACGTATGTTGGAACATCGACATCTATTATTGTACTATGTAAATATATACAGAAGACACATAGCCCAGCTCCGCAGGTGTGCATCATGGAAGGATGCGAGCGCATTCGCGATGAGGCACTGGCCCGTTCAGATTTATCGTCCTATAGTTCAATGGATGGTGTGTGTGTGTGTGCGTGTGAAACTCTATACACATATATATATATATATAACATATATATATATATATATACACATATACACATGCACATATATATATATAATATAGATGTGTATATACATATATAGCTATATACCTATATATACCTGCATGTATCCATACAAGTAGGCAAGTGGACGTACGGTGATTTATTTTCCATATATACAAACGTATTTGTGCGTATGTATTTATATATATATATATATATATACGCACAACATGTAGGGGCCTGTGATTCACAAAAACGCAAGGATGTGTAAGCTT